TCCCGACAGGTCTCGTCGCTGACCCAACCATTGACATATATCAGGAGTTACCTAGGCCGATGAGTGCGGCGGATGAATACAATATCTCCTTGTGTCAGTCGCGCTCTTACAAATTGGATGGCATGAGCTGACTATTTGCGTACAGATGATGCAGCGATATTCAAAGGAGCCCCAGTGTCGCTGCAGACTGTGAGCCGAAGGTTCAACGACGGTTTGGTGCTGGCGGCACAGGATGTAATTGAACGCATCCTCCGGTCTTAGAGGTGTCGCCTTTATTACGCTGAAAACATCATATGAGTCTTCGAATCCTGTATGTATTTGTATCATTACGACGCTAAAGGTTGCCCGAATCAGGATTGTCTATGTTCGAACACGTCTTATTAGTACCTCTTGCAGTGATTGTGCCCAGATCGCACTTGTATAGATACTGGAGGAAGATAAACGAGTCTCATCATATTTATAATTCCTATGATGCGGCAAGTACTAATATCTAACTCTGAAATTACAGGACACTCTTCCTCGATGTAACTCCGACCACAAGTCCTTCAACAGTACCGCCCACATTGATTTCACCACCATCAGAAGCCTCTTTCTAACGCGAGTCCTCAAAAAGAACCTTAACCGCCTCACCGGTAGCCTGATGCGCAAGACTAGACAGCGTCGCAGGCGGCACAAATGGTTTGACAGCCGAAGCTAAGTCTGTTGCGGGGATTCCGAGCGCGGATGCAAGCTGACTAAAATGCCCTTCAAGTTCTCCGGTCACCTCCTGACCTCTCTGCTGGTTGCGATAGGATGTATCATGTTGCCTCCCAATTCGCCCAACGGACATTCCCCACCACCCGACTTCCTCTTGCCAGTGCTTAAGCTCCACAGCCGTGATATACGTATACCACATTGTGAAGAGAAGGGCCATTGTCACCAAGGCGTATATGAAGGAACGCAAAGGTGCCCTATGTCCCGGTGGGGAGACAGGCGCCAACATATCTTTGCGTGGTCGTGAAGGCGGTAAGTCTGACCGGTTGACATGGTTAGAGCCTTCAGACAAAGAGCCTGGCAGATCTTTCTCCTTGGCTAGAGATGTGGGCGTTTCATGCGATGTTTTGGAGGAGGCACGGTCCTGTTTGGATCTTTTTCTGGTAGACATCGCGATCCTACGATTCGCAGGGATATACACGCTTAAGGAGGGATGCGAGAGGTATTTTCCTGCAATCGTCGAGGTTAATGCGACACCAACACCTTCTTCTTGGACAAGCTTACCAGAATTTAACCTGAGGAGTAGTAATGGGAGTGCTGAAGATCCGAATATTGGGAGTTACTTGTTCTTGATGGAAACTTGGAGTGATGCATGATGTCACCGTACTTTACTACTCCAACGTACAGCCACCTCCACAACTAATATTTGTACATGTTGAATTTTGAAGGGCATCCTTCACGTGTTCTATGACATTGTCAAGCCTCCCAAGCCCCATCAACGTTAACATCTGCATGTGATGTATACTTAATTTTGGCACCCTTCATATATCATCGCAAGGGCTACGTTATTCTGATTAATACTCAGAAGTTCAGTGTATTAACTTCGGGGTTGTAATCAAAAGACTACTGAGCACCTCATATCCCCATAATCACCTCACTGCGTCTCCACCATAACGCCAACGCTCCATTACATCGTGACCTCGGTCGTAACATCTCTGTTCGTCAAGTATTGTAATTACATTGTTAAGAAACGTCGTTTTGACACGTCCGTAGTGGCCCATTAGATGAAACAGCAAAGCAAAAGAAAAGTCCGGTAACATCAAATTAGAACAACAATCAAAAGGTGATATCGGCAAAGTCCACCGGGTATATTAGATGATGGGCACAGACTGTAACACCAACGTATTGGCACTATTTTTGTCGACAAGTGCGAAATTCTAGTGAAGAGCGAGAAATGTCAAGGTATGCTATGCGTGGAGAAGGTTGCAATGTTCAGGAATATAGCCCGTGTACGACCGGGAACCAAAGCATCGAGCATGCCGCAGGCGCAACCAAAGACAAGAGAAAACAGAAATAGAACGAGGATCTTACGCCAAGAGTTTCACTGAGAAGCCAATGAATGCTGCACCTGCGGCAAGTATTCCCAAACCGTCAAATAAGGCTCTGCTCGCAGCACCAGTGGAATGGGTTTTCCCAGAAGATGATCCAGACCCTGTTGAACTGGAAGACCCCGCTGTGGCAGCTGGGACGGCACCGGTGACTGTTGTCGTGCCGCTGATGTCTGGACAAGTGTTAATATAGATGTGACAAAAGATAGCGTTGATCGTACATTGATCAAACGATGGTAGAGAGTAGTTAGTCTCGACGTATGGCTGAGTTTGATTTGTGGCAACACCCATGGGAACGAGGTACTTGAATGCAGCTTTCAGCTGGGTGTAGAATTTCATAGCCTCGGACATGGTAAAGTTGTTGAGCTCGTGTGTGAGCATGATAGTACCCGCCTGCAAGCAGTGTCAGTCCTTGATGGATGACGATAAAAGTAGGGAAGGCATTGACGGTAGCGTAGGTGCCATTTTGTGCACGAGCAATGAGGTACTCGTAATTCTGGTCGACATCAGCAGCAGTAACGTTGTTAAAGCCTTCACGCCAATCATTGGAGTCATATTGCCAAATGATCGTGCGCAAACCCAGTGCATGGGCAATGGCCCGGACCCGATCGTCGACATCGCCGTAGGGAGGCTATGAATGCATTAGACAGTCGTACGCCTGACAGTAAATAGGCTTACCCTCCAGCACGTAGGCGTCACGCCGACCACCAACTTAATTGCTTCCATCTATAAGCTAAGGTCAACATATTTCTGACTGTGCTCGGTCAAAAATCTCACAGCTAAGAAGAGGTCATTAGAAGGGAAGGGAAGGGAATGATGCTAGACAACGTACTATAGTAAAATTCTGCAAAGACTTCGTCGTTGGTCAAAGTAGTCGCTATATACACAATGACATGATCAACCACCCAAGTATGTTTGTTCCCACGTAGCACTTACTATATTTGTGCGACCAAGTGTCTGTGCCAGTATAACATCAATGCACCGCATCACGAAAGGAGCGTGCAAAGACTCACGAACACAAATTTCATGACCATCAGCGAGAGCGCGCTGCGCCTCAAAAGGCCAGTCCATGACGTTACTGCCGATGTAGAACATGGCTAAATTGTAATAAGGATACTTATAATAAAGCTGAAAACGAGCAAAACCAACGTACTGGCTTTTTGGTTATTTTGCGACAAGAAGTCATAGAATGCATTGTGGGAGCAATTGGGTCCATCGTCGAAACCATAACCTAGGGTATTAGGCTAGATGAAGTCAGTTACTGCAGTATGATGAGATAGAAAAACATACCTCTGGGACGCCAGCCAGATCCGGAGGTAATCCGGCCAATTTTGGAGTAGTGCATTGGTCAAACGTCCACCAGCAATCGGGATCAGACGAAGGGTACGAAAAACCGCTGAAATCACCGGTGGAGGTGGAAGCCGGGCTGCCATTGGGCTGAATATTTGGGATCTGGCTCTGGATGGACTGGTACTTGGCTTGAGCATTGGTGTCATTGGGGAGAATGGTCGCGATTGTCCAGATAGGCGGGAACTGGTTGGCAGCGAGAGCAGCAGTAACGGGCGCGTAGGAATACGGAGTGCATTCCTGATTCGGATCTGAGTTGATGAGTGGTCAGCATGATCTTTCAACATGGCACAAAATACTGGTCGGGCAAGGAACATGAAGTACGTAATTGGGCCCAGAGTTGTGCGGACACAAAAAGCAAGGGTTGTCGCTATGGTCATCATAGCCACATGGAAGGCCGAAGCGTTCCTCGGTTCCCTCTTCTTTGGAGATAGATAGGTCGTACGATTATTCAAGTGAAAAGGGCATGTTCGAATTGAACAACCCACTCGAATGGAGCAGCGTCCACCGCTTTGCGTCAATGTGACGATTCAAAGGATGCGCAATGCGCCCACCAATATACATACATATCCATTCCGAACCATTTGGCTAATGCCTGTAACTCGCATGCATAGATGATATTTTAATTCTTACCAGTAATCTGCGCCTCGCCCTGTTCAGTGGTGCGGTCCTGCGCACTGGCGGACAAAGTAAAGAGTGTGGTTGCAATGAGAGCAGAAGAGACTGCGGCCTGTGAAGCAAAGAGCGACGACCAACGCATGTTGGTTAGTTTAGGCGGTTGGAGTCTAAGAAACAGAAAGAGATTGGGTATGATTGAGAGTTGTCAGTTGGCAAAATTGACAGAAGTTTAAAATTGGCGGGAAGTCGGAAGGGAGGATAATCTTTCTGCAGGAATAAAAACTCTGCTGGGAAATATATGCGCTGGTTAACTCCGTGTTACAGGAATAGTGGGAGGAGAAACAACACCGCGCTCGGAATAAAAGACACGCAGAAATCGGTATATATACCTGTTTGGCAACAGTCGTGCCGTTAACTGTAGGCAGCATGCATTTCGAAATGGCAGTATAGGATCCGGCTAAAAATAAACTATCCAAGCTGACTCGTGGCCCTGAGATATCTCAGTACAGCCCTGTATCCGGCGCGCACTATGTCCAGGTTGAGTCATGGCTATACCGAACACCGACTCAATGACAGTACAAGGCACTGAGCGCCAAGGTAGAATTCGAATTCTTATAGATTATTATGCTTGAGGGAGTTCATGACAGCTGCTTGGCCGTCTATGAGGCTAACAAGTCGTCGACAAAGTCATAGAAAATCTTCAAACGATACGTCAACACGGTAGAACCATCCTAGCTGAGTTTCAAAAATATATGCTGCAACATTTTTAGAAGCGTTTTCGCTGAATTCAAATTGAGGCAAGTCAAAAAATACTTGCAAATCGGGCCACGCGGAATGATTAGCAATTTTTTATTGGCTCTCGCCGATTTGCCGCGATTTATTTGAAGATGCTTATTACTATTTGTACATAATATCAGTTTTTCGCTACCGCTGCAGCGGCTGCACGACCCGAACGAAGGAGATAGAGCTCAACGCTCAGTACTCAGTGACAGACCTCACTCGACTCACCGTATTGGTATCACAATTGCATGCACATGCACGCCTCCGTCCAACTCCAAACGTGATTGCGTCCCGGCATACAATCGAATTGCCCCGCTTAACGATCACGGGGTATTGCCTTCTTCCTAAATTTAGCTGGAGTCGTCTTGCAAAGTCACCGTGACAATAATAGTCTCGCCGGGTTCGCCATAATTTTGATCCAACATCACGAACTCAATCTGCTACGGTAACGGATTAAAAACTATTTCTCCTACTGAAGACGACTGAATAGTTGTCGGTTCAAGTATGTGGGCAGTGTGGAAGCATTGAATGAAGCACTATGTCAGCCGTAGCGATGTCAGTGGAGTGTACTTCCGCACTGCAGCAATGCTTCTCAAATGAGTCAAGTGACCCTCTGACATCGGAACAGCTTATCTACCAAGGCGCTCTCCCTTCTCCGCCTTACAATTGTGTCCAACAGGTCTGAGTAACGACCCCTTAGTCTATGGAGTGTACCATCTTACCATATCTCACAGACACATATCATCTCTTCTGATGGTCTCGTTTGCAACTCGGTCGGTGGTGAGTTACACTGAATTCTGCGTTCCGCCTGTAAGCTTCCATGCATGCATGCTCAATTTGTTAACATTACTTAGACATGTTGCAACCAAGATAGTCTATGTTGCGACCTCCTCCCCATTAACTCAACATCCCTCCTCTCGTGACGCGTTCGCAAGCCCAAGTGCAAATAAAAATGTGGCAGCCATCGAGTTTGCTGCGTTCGCAAACGGCCCCACCCATCGAGACGTGGTGGTCGTCACCAACAATTACACTGGCAATCGTTTTAATTTTGTCTAGCTATGGAGCATGCTCGTGCTAAACATGCAGGACTGAAGGTTGTGAGCGTGCTAAATGCGGACGACGTTTTGCCTGTGCACCAGGCCAATCAAGATACGAAGGCTGTGAGATAGTCGGTCTCAGATGTCTCAGAAGAAACATTTGTGTGCAAGGTCCTTGATGCCTATACAACGCCCGGTGGCAAAGGGGCCAGTGTCAGTATTTCTTTATGCTTCTGTCGGTGCTCATGATAAACATCTACTTCAAGCGCCCCAGTCCCACACGTTCACATGCCGAGTGCCTTGGTGACATGCTGGTTGCGCACTTGCATAGCATTGGTATTGCAGTTGGACATTGTCATGTTCCTGGACACGAACTTCATCCAGGTCTTAGTTTAGGCATCATTTACACACACCGACATTCGGTAATGCTCTTCAATTTCACTGCCAATTGTATGACATCAAACCCGTGCAGCTTTTCAACTGGTTGCCGATGGCCACGTTGAGGTAGGACTCGGTTTATACATTGAACCGGGCGTCCGCCGTGCACCGTTGGCTCGCTACCGGGATGTTGTGCCTGGTGGGTTATATGGCGGAGAATGGAGCAGAGCAGAGATCTACGCACGATATTCAGTTAAGATTGTCTTCCAGTATTAACTTCTCTTACATTTCAGGGGCCCGGGCGTGCACGTTTGATGCTGATGAGCCGTGGCTCCACAAACAATGATGTGATTGTGTTTTTCATGATCAGAACAATCTTGACGGTGTATCGCAACTTGAAATTGGAGCAGTAGTAGAAGAAGTTAGGCGCGTTCTTGGTATGTGCATGAAATCATTCCACCAAAGTCCAAAAGTAATTTACATAAATCAGCGTTGCAAAAGATTGTTCCGTCTCGTGTTTACTGCGTTCCATTTATGACCTCGTTGAGCGTGCCTGGATTCTCAATCTCCACTACGAGCGTATCTATGATTCACGAACTTATCGATTCAACTTCCATCTGCATGGCCAGGAAATGCTGAGGGACTACATGTCGCTGCAGGCAACAGCGAAGACGATGTAACCGACTTGCTGACGCTCCGAGTCCTGAATGCTCCAACTGATGCCCATTCCTGGCTTTGTGTACACTCCTGGCCGGCTGTCAGAGCCACCTGCCGAAGATGAAGCGCAGGTGGAGGCCTTACTGCGAACCTTCACTTCTCCTCTAGAATTTCTCAATCCTCATCTGATGGGGGTTCGACTTCGCAGGGTTTGGGTATGTTAGAAGAGAAGGTGAAGAAGAGTATTAGAGGGGCATGTTAAGTTGTGCTGGTCCCTGAGTCAGATACTACGCGATTCGACGCGGTTGTGGGCGATGGTGACCGTGGAGAGACGTTTGCTGGTGGCGCTAAAGGAGTATAGTACACGCTGTTCGCTTGCCTGTGATCCTGGTCAGAATACAGGTATTCTTGCGGCCCTCGACTCTGGGACGCTCGATTAAATGAAGATAGTTCCTGCCGCGTTTGTGAGTAAGGTGGGTAAGATACTGGAAGGGAGATACTGCTGGTGCTCGTGAGTTGGCTACTGATAGCATGACCCAGTTTTTACAGTCTTCTTTACAGCATGATCCAGTGTCCTATCTTCATTAAACGCTGCTCTAACTGCGTTGGGAACACGCATATCCGCTCTTCCGGGAAATAGAACCATCGTTGATGCCCTGGCATCATTTTGTGCTGTGCTTTTGTCAGATGCTCCACTGCAAGATGCTGTCGTGGCTGTGGAAGAAGGTGCAGATCGATCAGAAGACCCGGGGAATGAAGAAACGATCGATAAGGACGGGCATTGTATGTAAGAGGGTTGGTGTTCCTCCTGACCCCGGTGAAGCTTGGGGAGTCGCCAATATCGTGGTTAGTAGGTTTGCAAAGGATATGGTTATAAGCCCATCACTAGTACTAGAAATATCTGGTCACACTGTTTCCCAGGACACGGCTGTGGTCCTGCACGTGACATCATCGCGGGCGCCGCACCCTCACTGGTTGTCCATTGATCCACGCCTTCAAGCTGATGGCCCTCTATATTTGTGGACCTACAAGAGCTAGCGCTCATACGGGACCTCCTGTACGAACCTCCTGTACGAACCTTCTGTATGCGATAGCAATTTTATGTCTTGTACGTGTTCTTTTGTAGGCGATTCTCACCACATCCTTGCCATGTATGGACAGGCTCTGATATCAGAACAACACAATTTGCCGAATAAGTCGTCGCAGATCTCTTCTGGTACATATGAGCCTTACGAAGTTACTTCACATTTGCACAGGGAACAGCAATGTCACCAACAGATAATCATGCGCTGATGCGTTCCTGTATACGGTGTACGAAATTTCTCGAGGCTTTCTCTGATACGTGCAAGTGGTTTACCCTGAATTTCAAGTTGTGGGCGTGATATGCACTGTGCTGTAGCATGCAGGTCCAAGAAGGGGCTGGTCTATAAAATCAGAGGTCATTCAGATGTCGTATGCACCACACTTCCGAGTCTCAGACACAATCTACTACCATGAACACATTTCTCAACAGACGTGGCAGACAAACTACATCGTTAAACGATCCATCTCCTGATACCGCATCCGGTTCCACCAGTCCTCCAGACACGGGAGTTGACATATCATCTACCGACTATGCACATAGGCGTAGAGAGCTCATGAAAATGATGGCTGACCTCAAATCCATGGGGTGGGTGTTTGTGGTTCTGACTGCACAGCTTGCTCATGCGACCTCTTACAGTGCCGAGGCGCTCATCGACTTACCATCCGTAGTCGTCATTGGTGGCCAATCAGGTTTGCGATCGTCTCCTCTTGTAACCACAGTTGTACTCAACCCAATATTTCAGCGGGTAAAAGCTCACTCGTTGAAGCCGTCAGTGGGGTACGTCGACAGACAGTCTGTCCTTTTGTTCCTTGACTCATTATTTGTTCCATTATGATAAAGATCAATGTCCCGCGGGACAGCGGAACATGTACAAGGTGACCCTACCACCATCGGTCACTGCATAGGATGCTCATGCTACTCTATTCAGATGCCCCATGGAATGTACAATGTCTAGTCACGCCACGTCATGGTCCTGCTCTATCACTTTACGATTGAGCTTTGATAGTAGCGGTAAAGACATGGCAAAGACTGTTACAGTGCCCTTTGGTCGAACGATTACTGACAGAAATGAGGTCGAGGTTTGGCTGCGTCGTGCCCAGTCAGCCATTCTCAACCCGAACCTCCCTTCTTCGAGTTTCCACACGAAGACCATCGAGGAACTCAGGAGCACAAAGAACACACTAAAGTTCTCCCGAAACGTGGTGTGTGTCTCCATTGAAGACCCCGATGCGACAGACCTGTCCTTCTATGATCTACCGGGTAAGTATATGTTGATTTGGATTGAGACAATACGATTAATGTGCAATGAAGGTTTGATTCAGAATGAAGAAGCCGAGACTGTTGCCCTCGTGAAAGGTTTGGCGGAACATTACACTAAGAAAAAGAACACCATCATATTGACTACCATTCCCATGAGTGGTACGTGTATAAACTACGAACTCCTTTGTAACCGAATCGATACTCGCCCTCCTAGATGATATGGAAAATCAACAATCCATGAGTCTTGCCAGGGCCGCAGACCCTGACGGAAAGCGAACAATTGGTATGTCGCTCATATTGCAATATGATCAAACAACTCAAATTTGTTCAGGTGTCCTTACTAAACCTGACACGCTCGGTACCGGTGCTATCAACCAACGCAGAAGATGGGTAGAAATCATCGAGGGTCGTTCGGAGGACCATAAATTGAGGCACGGCTTTTACTGTGTGCGTCTTCCTGACGATGCCGAACGCTCGCAACGCCTGTCTCGTGCTGAATTGCAAAGGCGTGCTGCTGAATATTTCGATACAACGTCTCCCTGGAATGGTGTGACCGACCGTCATCGGTTCGGAATTCCAGGTTTTGTTTCGGATGTCAGCCGACTGCTCATCCAGCTGATCGAGGAAGCGTGCGTGGACTTGATAGCTCGCTCGCTATAACAGAACTCACATTGTTTACAGTTTACCACGCCTCAGAGAAGATATCGACAAGCTCCTTGCCCAATGTAACAAGGAACTCGATGGATTACCCCCGCCACTTGCAGATGACCCACAGATCGAGGTTTTGGGACGTGTTAATACATTTTGCGACGTCTTCAAGGGCTATGTGAATGGAAGTCACGAAGACAAACGTCTTGCGCAGCGGAATCGCGCACTCTATGCCATCTTTAAAAGGGATATACGCGGCACTGCTCCTGACTTTAGGCCTCTTGAAAATCCGGAAGATTGTCGTCCACTGGATGATACCGAGGGGAAGATGATTCTTACTGAACGAGATCCTGGAGTGAAAACGATGGGTATATATGAGATCAGCAAAGTTATCCAAGAGTATGTTTTCGTATTTTGTTGTGATATTTGAATGGTAGCTCAATCATTCATCAAGGGCAATTGGATGGGAGCTTCCAAACAACGTACCATATCAAGCAAAGGCGAACCTCATCGCTGGATTCATCAAACTCTGGGTTGCTCCGTCTGAGCGCTGTCTCGCTGGCGTCAATGATGTGCTCGACCAAGTCATTGACACACTCATTGGCATCCATTTTGGACGCTTCAGAGTCCTTGAGGGTTATGTTGGGTAAGGATTGACTTCTTACCGTTATTCCCTTGGCTCAAGCTGTCTTGTGACATCAGTAATTTGATCAGAACTCAGGTTGATATCTGCAAGGCGCTCGCCAAAGAAGCCGTCAAAAAAGCTTTGGATTTGGAAACTACCCCATACTATACTCAAAACACGCACTATCTTCAAACACTCAGCGAAAAATGGCTGGCCTACTATAAGGTAGTTCGCCATGGACCCAAGAATTATCGCGCACCGGTTGCATCTGAGTATCGCGGCGAGTCTCCCCAGTCCAAAGCTTTGAGGGCTCTTGCAGAGGCTGGGTATGCAAATATTAGCATACCAGATCTTGCGCGTCTGTTACCTCCCGACTCGCGCGAGAAAGAGCTAATTGTGATGGCTGATGTTCGGGCTTATTATCACGTTGCCTACAAGGTAAGAGTTGTTTATCGTCTGTGTTTCAAGATGTTTATCCCCCGAGCAGCGCGTTATTGACCATATTCCTCTGACGATCGAGCATGCCCTCCACCATGCCCTGGCGGAACAACTGTCGCAGAGCCTTCTTACGAGCTTGCTGACCGATGTTGCATCTGGGTCCAATTTCTCAGAGCGTATGAACGAGTTGGTCAGCGAAGACCCTTCTATTGCTCAGAAACGAGCATCGCTCTCCACAAGGAAACAACGCCTATCAGACATTCGCCGGAGACTCGTGACTTTCGGCAATAATGTTTAATTGCTGCGAGGGGGTTACGATGTATTTTTGTCTGTTAGACTTCCGTGCAAATATAGATCTTCCGTTTTGTTGACCTCCTGTTGACCTCTGTCGTTGTTACTGTAGTGGTCGTTGTATTTTTCTGCTATGTGCTTGAACGTTGTTATATTACATGCTCGTGAACAAAGCAATCGAGTTCTTTGTTCGTACTGGTACATTGCTACCTAAAACAAGGAGGCAACTCTGACTCCTTAATCGACGTCGACTGGATTCCAGGTAACTGCGCCCTCCTTCCCACGGTCCAACGCGTCAAGCTTTGCCATGTCCGTAGGTTCGATTTCCCAACCAAATACTTGGCCGTTGGATATGATACGTTCTGGTTGCGAGGATTTAGGCAAAGGCACAAATCTGGGTGTAATCAAATGAGAATTTGAGTAGATACTAATCGTGCCACTCACCCTCGTTGCAAAGACCACCTGACAAGAATTTGAGCAGGATCCTTGGAGTACTACAACACATCAAACATCATGACGCAAGTAGATACAATATATAGTCACCTTTGTAGAGAGCTCCTGGATGACTTGGTTATCGAGAGCACCACGGACAAGAGGGGAGTAGGCCTGGACAACGATGTTGTTCTTCCTACAATATTCGACGATGGGTTTTTGCTGGCAGAACGGATGTAACTGATGACAATTTCAGCTTCCTCGTAATGGTCGTATGAGCCAATCGTAGAAATCCTCACCTCTACTTGGTTCACAACAGGCATCTCTAGACCAGCCTCACGAATCTCTTCTATGTGCTTGGCTGAGCTGTGTAACTGTCAGTCGAGAGGGTATCTGTGAGTGATGATACCTACTAATTGGAGACGCCGACAGATTTGATCATCCCGTTCGCCTTGCCGTCCAACAGAGCCCTGTAGGCGGCAAGACGTGCGTCCTTACCTCCAATGGCGCTGTGGGTCAGGTATAAATTATAATACGCTAGTACCTATGTTGTAAGTCATGTAAATTGTTAGAAAGGTAAGACTTGCAAGATCCAAGGTTCGCGATCGAGTCTTTCAAAGCAGCCGTCGTCCCATCGTAGGTGAAATCCTCATGGAAGACCTTCGAAGCTACCGTAACAAAGAGGACCAGATATGTGAGATGTTGATGTCCAGGAGCTTATCCTCACTGATAAAGACGTCTTCGCGCTTAACGCCACTTTTCCCTACCCCAACACCGACTTGAACTTCATTCTCGTAGTACCGGGCCCCATCAATCATTCTGATGATCTAAGTAAGTTTTGAAACTTTGACTGGTCACTGATGTGCAATACCTACCGGTAACCATTTTGAAGGGCAACCCTGCAAGCTTCCGCGCATTCCTCGTTCAGGTAGACACCAAGCCCAATAGCGGGCATGGTGTGGCCTAAACGATTTGCGTTGATAAGATACTACGTGAACCAATGATGACGAAAACTCACCATCAGAGAGTGTAACTGTTTCAACCATGATTTAGAGCTGGATGGTAAAGATAAGGAAAGAGCTGGCTATTTATGCAAGTCCGAAACATACAGCGTGCTTGGGACTGCGCTGGTGAATGTTATATGCACAGTTTACACGGAAGCCAGCCTCTTCATACCGGAGTTGAAATATTGACGCGAACTTCGCGAAAGCAGTTAAGTATGTCAAGCAAGCGAGCCCAACGTGTGACCTGCATACTCAAGGAAGGATTTTCAAGAGTTGGCACTTCCAGTCAGCGTTGACCAGTTAGTCAAGCACTGACTGACGATTGACTGACCCAAGATGTCGACGTCATGTATGGGAATGGTGCCTTACATAAAGCAGCCTAGCGCCGAGCCTATCAAGATGCAATAATCAAATCTGTTGAAGAAGAGAATCAGCTCACGAAGATAACAGGAGAAATGATTTGGCATGTCCGCCGCGCCAAAGATGAACTTCTCCTTCTATGAGTGTCCCACGTCACGCGTCACGAGTCAGCTCGACATGTCACTCGCGCGTATGGCTGCTTACTACCTTATTCGGTTTACAAACCCCGCAGTATGCAAGTAACTTGTTAACGATGTTCCTCCGCCTGCCCGCGCACCTTTCTTTCTTTTCCTCTTAATAATCATAACACCCTTCGTGCCCACACTGCCACTTTGTCCATGTAAGTTTTCTCATTTCTCCTCGTCTTCTAACTTTTAGGAGCCTTCTCAGACTAGTACATCCTATCCTCCCGTATCATCTGACACTGTCACACTCTGCCCTCTCACACAACCTTGCACCCTTCTTGCATTCTCTCGAGACTCGCACCTTCTCGCATTGCTGTCAACTTCACTTTTTCTCTTGTTTGTCCTCCAGTCTGCCGCCTCACCTATTGTGCATCATCGCCTCGTCACCTTCTTTACGTTCAGTACTTGCCCCTCGTATGTTTGTATATCAACTTACATTCACACTCGTTGGCTATAGCCTATAGCCAACTATACCGTGACTCTAGCCACTGTAGCGCAATTTGATGTGCCCATTATTGTGATCAAACGAGAATGCATATAAATTCATGTAGCGGCATGTATTGAACGTCATCCAAACAAAAGTCTACTGAGAGATACAAGACTTGCAGCCTGTTGCATAAAAATCAGTCGCATGCACGGACTTGCAGCGTAGCTCACAAGTCTGTCACTTGTTTATAGGCAATGTAGCAATTGTACACATTGTACCGGCCGTTATGGCCACATGGTTTGCATAGAACGTTTCGTTTCTTTTGTCGATGTTGCGTTTGTCTTAGTCCGTTGGTAGCTGATGATGTTCTCCGTCTGCAAATGTTAGTTTCACTGTTTTGACCTGGCTTCAGAAGTTAGAACGACGGCCGCGGCCGGGAGTCCCAAACATAGACATGAACTTCCTGTATAATTTACTACGTGACCTTTTGCCGGCAATTCTCGTCACTTCCTTGCTGTGTATGCACAGGCTCTGATATCAGAACAACACAACTTGTCCGAATGAGTCGTCGCAGATCTCTTCTGGTTAGCACATATGAGTATTATGATGGTTACTTCATTGCAATAAGGAACAATAATGTCACCATCAGATGATCATGTGCTGGTGCTTCCTGTGCACGGCGGGCGACATTTCTCAGCGCTTTCTCCAATACCTGTGAGTGGCTTACCCTGAACGTTATACACACTGTGCTTCGATAGGCATCTCCAAGAAGGCGCCGAGGCATAAAAACAGAGGTCATTCAGATGTTGTGTGCAACACACTTCCCAGACCCAATCCACTACCATGAACGGATTTCTCAATAAACGCAGACAAACCACATCGTCAGGCGATACGTCTCCTGATATTACATCTCTCCCTTCACTGTCTGGTTCTGTCAGCCCTCCAGATACGGGGGTTGACATATCATCCACTGACTATGCCCAGAGGCGTAGAGAGCTCATGAAAATGATGGCTGACCTCAAATCTATGGGGTGGGTGTTTGTGGATCTGACTATACAGCTTGTTCATGCGACCTCTCACAGTGCTGAGGCGCTCATCGACTTACCATCCGTAGTCGTCATCGGTGGACAATCAGGTTTGTGGTCGCCTCCTCTTGCAACCGCAGCTGTACTCAACCAAATACTAATACTTCAGCGGGAAAAAGCTCACTCGTCGAAGCCGTCAGTGGGGTACGTCGGCAGACAGTTTGTCCTTTTGTCCCTTGACTCATTTTTCCCCTTATGATAAAGATCAATGTCCCGAGGGACAGCGGGACATGTACAAGGTGACCCTACCACCATCGGTCACTGCATAGGATGCTCACGCTACTCTATTCAGATGCCCCATGGAATGTACAATGTCTAGTCACGCCACGTCGTGGTCTTGCTCTATAACTCTACGGATGAGCTTCGATAGTAACGGTCAAGATATGCCAAAGACTAATACGGTGCCCTTTGGCCAAAAAACGATTACCGACAGAAATGAAGTTGAGGTTTGGCTGCGTCGTGCCCAGTCAGCCATTCTCAACCCGAATGTCTCTGCTTCGAGTTTCCACACGAAGACCATCGAGGAACTCAGGAGCGCAAAGAATATGCTAAAGTTCTCCCGAAACGTGGTATGCGTCTCCATTGAAGACCCCGATGCGACAGACCTGTCCTTCTACGATCTACCGGGTAAGTATACGCTGAGCTGGATTGAGATAATACATCTGATGTGTAATGAAGGTTTAATTCAAAATGAAGAAGCCGAGACCGTTGCCCTCGTGAAAGGTTTGGTGGAACATTACACCCAGAAAAAGAACACCATCATATTGACTACCATTCCCATGAGTGGTACGTGTATAAATTGCGAACTCCTTTGTAACCGAATCGATACGCGCCCTCCTAGATGACATGGAAAATCAACAATCCATGAGCCTTGCCAGGGCCGCAGACCCTGACGGAAAGCGAACAATTGGTATGTCGCTCATATTGCAATATGATTAAACGACTCAAATCTGTTCAGGTGTCCTTACTAAACCTGACACGCTCGGTTTCGGTGCTATCAACCAGCGCAGAAGATGGGTAGAAATCATCGAGGGCCGTTCGGAGGATCACAAATTGAGGCACGGCTTTTACTGTGTGCGTCTTCCTGACGATGCCGAACGCTCGCAACGCCTGTCTCGTGCTGAATTGCAAAGGCGTGCTGCTGAATATTTCGATACAACATCTCCCTGGAATGGTGTGACCGACCGTCATCGGTTCGGAATTCCAGGATTTGTCTCCGATGTCAGCCGACTGCTCATCCAGCTGATCGAGGAAGCGTACGTGGACCTTCTAGCTCGCTCGCTATAACAGAACTCACATTGTTTATAGTTTACCACGCCTCAGAGAAGATATCGACAAGCTCCTTGCCCAATGTAACAAGGAATTCGATGCATTACCCCCGCCACTTGCAAATGACCCACAGATCGAGGTTTTGGGACGTGTTAATGCATTCTGCGACGTCTTCAAGAGTTATGTGAACGGCAGTCACGAAGACAAGCGTCTTGCGCAGCGGAATCGTGCTCTCTATGCTATCTTTAAGAGGGATATACGTGGCACTGCTCCCGACTTTAGGCCTTTCGAAAAGCCGGAAGATTATGTTCCACTGGATGATACCGAGGGGAAGATGACTCTTACTGAACGAGATCCTGGAGTGAAAACGATGGGTATATATGAGATCAGCAAAGTCATCCATGAGTATGTTTCTGTGTTTTTCTCTAGTAGCTGGACGGTAGCTCAATCATTCATGAAGGGCAATTGGATGGGAGCTTCCGAACAACGTACCATATCAGGCAAAAGCAAACCTCATCGCTCAATTCATCAAACTATGGGTTGCTCCGTCTGAGCGCTGTCTCGCCGGCGTCAATGATGTGCTCGATCAAGTCATTGACACACTCATTGGCATCCATTTTGGACGCTTCAAAGTTCTCGAGGGTTATGTTGGGTAAGTGTGGACTCCTCACGACCGTTCCATTCGCTCAAGTGTCTTTGATATTAGCGATTTGATTAGGACTCAGGTTGATACCTGCAAGGCGCTCGCCAAAGAAGCTGTCAAAAAAGCTTTGGATTTGGAAAATACTCCATACTATACTCAGAACACGCATTATCTTCAAACACTCGGGGAAAAATGGCTGGCCTACTATAAGGCGGCTCGGAATCAACCTCATAAATACAAAGTTGATCACAAGCCATATGAGGTTTGTAACGTGGCCTATGCCCAGGAAGAGGAATGTGAATATTATCACCCCCACATGGCGTCGGAGCTTCCCCAGTTCGAAGTTTTGAGAGCTGTTGCGGAAAGGTCGGAGACTCCCCAGGACAAAGCTTTGAGAGCTCTTGCGGAGGCGGGGTATACAAATCTTAGCGTATCAGATCTTGCACGTCTGTTACCTCCTGACTCGCGCGAGAAAGAGTTAATTGTGATGGCTGATGTTCGAGCTTACTATCACGTTGCCTACAAGGTGAGTCTCATTTATCATCTGCGCTCCAACTTGTTTATTCTCCGAGCAGCGCATTATTGACAATATTCCTCTGACGATCGAGCATGCCCTCCACCATGCCCTGGCGGAACAACTGTCGCAGAGCCTTTTCACGAGCTTGCTCACCGATGTTGCATCTGGGCATAATTTCTCTGAGCGTATGAACGAGTTGGTCAGCGAAGACCCTTCTGTTGCTCAGAAACGAGCATCACTCTCGACAAGAAAACAACGCCTATCAGACATTCGCCGGAGACTCATGACTTTCGGCAACAATATTTGATTGCTGCGAGGGGGTTACTCGTCTGTTAGACTTCCGTTTCAGGTAGCAATGTCCCAGTACTAAAGAACACTGCTTTGTTCACGAGCATGTAATATAATAACGTTCGAGCACCTAGCAGAAAAACACAATGACCACTATATTAACAACGACAGAGGTCAACAGGAGGTCAACAAGAGGGAATATCTATATTTGCACAAGGATGCAGCCCTGAGGCGGCTGACTAGACTCCTTAATCGACGTCGACTGGATTCCAGGTAACTGCGCCCTCCTTCCCGCGGTCCAACGCGTCAAGCTTTGCCATGTCCGTAGGTTCGATTTCCCAACCAAATACTTGGCCGTTGGATATGATACGCTCGGGCTGCGAGGATTTGGGCAAAGGCACAAATCTGGGTATAATCAAATCAAATAAGAATATAGGCAAATGCCAATCGCGCCGCTTACCCTCGTTGCAAAGACCACCTGACAAGAATTTGAGCAGGATCCTTGAAGTACTACAACACATCAAACATCATGACGCAAGCAGATATAGTATACAGTCACCTTTGTAGAGAGCTCCTGGATGACGGGGTTGTCGAGAGCACCACACACAAGAGGGGAGTAGGCCTGGACAACGATGCCGTTCTTCCTACAATATTCGACGATGGGTTTTTGCTGGCAGAATGGATGTAACTGGTGACAATTTCAGCTTCCTCGTAATGGTTGTGTGAGCCAATCGTGGTAATGCTCGCCTCTATTTGGTTCACGACGGGAATTTCTAGACCAGCCTCACGAATCTCTTCTATGTGCTTTGCCGAACTGTGTAACCGTCAGTCGAGAGGGTATCTGTGAGTGATGATACCTACTAATTGGAGACGCCGATAGATTTGATCATCCCGCTCGCCTTACCGTCCAAAAGAGCTCTGTATGCGGCAAGACGTGCGTCCTTACCTCCAAGAGCGCTGTGGGTCAGGTATAAATCATAATACGCTAGTACCTGTCTTGTAAGCTACATAAATTATGAGGAAGGTAAGACTTACAAGATCCAAGGTTCGCGATCGATTCTTTCAAAGCAGCCGCCGTGCCATCGTAGGTGTAATCCGGATGGTAGACCTTCGAAGCTACCATAATAAAGGGGACCAGGTAGGTGAGAGGTTAATGTCCAGGAGCTTATCCTCACTGATAAAAACGTCTTCGCGCTTAACACCACTTTTCCCTACCCCAACACCAACTTGAACTTCATTCTTGTAGTACCGTGCACTATCAATCATTCTAATGATCTAATTGAGTTTTGAAACTTTGACTGATGTGCAATCCTACCGGTAACCATTTTGAAGGGCAACCCTGCAAGCTTCCGCGCATTCATCGTTTAAGTAGACACCGAGCCCAATAGCGGGCATGGTATGGCCTAAACGATTTGCATTGATAAGATACTACGTGAACCAATGATAACGAAAACTCACCATCAGAGAGTGTAACTGTTTCAACCATGATTTAGATCTGAAGGAGTAAAGATAAGGAAAGAGCTGGCTATTATGGCGTGCCTGTGACTCTGCTTATGAATGTTATACGCACAGTTTACACGGAAGCCAGCCTCTTCCTACCGGAGTTGAAACGTTGACGCGAACTTCGCGAAGGAAGCTAACTATGTCAAGCGAGTGAGCTCAACGTGAGACCTGTATACTGAAGGCTTGAAGGGTTTTCAAGAGTCGGCACTTCCGGTCAGTGCTGACCAAAAATAGTGAGTTAGTCAAGCACTGACTGATCCAAGATGTCATGTATGGGAACGGTGCCTCACATAAAGCAAGTGCCAAGTCTTGTCAAGATGCAATAATCAAATCTGTTGAACAAGAGGAACAGCTCGCGAAGATAACAGGAGAAATAATGCCTGATAACGCTTGTCCGCGTCAAATATGAACTTCTTCCTAAATGAGTGTCCCACGTCAGCTCGACACGCGTATCCCCAATAGTGAGTCGCCTGCGTCACTTTCTAGCCCATCTTGCGACTCGACACTTGGCAGCCTTGGCTTCGCGTATTACCATCCATTCCCTCGGAAACCGGATTTAAACCAGGTCATCCTACACCCCCAAATTCGCCGATGCCGCAGCATAGCGGGCATCGTGAATTGTGATGGACATTTCTCCCTCTGCGATGATCAGATTCACTTGGATGCACATCGACAAGTTTGTGGAATCGCATATAGACCATCTCTGGCCGGAAGATCTATTGCCAGGTGCACGAGTGTAGTAGTGTAAGCATGGTTCATCTTTAATGCTAGTCACTTGTCTTAGACGGCATTTCTCCCGGGCCTGAGAGAAACTATCCTTGAGCAAATAATTCGTCGTCAGATTGTTTCGTTTCGTTATCATCGATATTGCGTTGCGATTCAAATATTCACTGTTCAATATTAATCAATAACAGAAGATATTTTGATGGATCATGTGACGTCCACACAGTTCCAAACAAGTCTCGAACCCTACAACTCAGTCAATGACTCGACTCGACTCACAACTAGTAAAACAAATATAAACGCCCACCAGGTAGCAGAAATTGCTAACGTGCCAAGTTCCTAATCCGAGCCTTCTAGCCTTGCCAAAGCTGAGCGCTGAGGCTTGATAGTGCCAATAAAACCCGCTGGACATCAGCTGGGAAGAAAGCGAACATGATTTCGGTTATGAATCTCCGAAGCTCTTCCGAGCCTTTGATGTGTGACACTCGTGTTCACACACTGCTGGCATCATACGTAGGCTAACGTAGCAGAGTCAACATCCGGCCTTCAAGCTTCAAGCTTGTTCATATGATCAGAATCATGCAAGTATATCAGATTCATAGTACTTACCTGTGATCACTGATAGCCGAGCTGAATCAATGGTACGCCATGACAATTATCCCATAGGGCTCATCCCAGCTTCAAGTTCTTCAAAGTTCAAACTACTACCACCTTTGCTTTTGAAAATTTGTAGACCTCCTTCAAGATGGAAGGCAACTGGGAAACGTTTTTCCCGCGATTACTTCGCAGAGTTACCAAGGATATCTAAGCCTATCTGAGCGCGTGCAGTTCTGCCGCGATGTCCAAGGCTAATTTCCTGCTGTTCTGCTCCAGGACGAAGATGCGAATGAAAATCCGCTTAGACCTGACGATACTGGTGGTTACATCCAGCTCCCGTTTGCGCTACTCCGGGTTAGTTGGAGGAGCAAGTCACTTCAGATGGAGACTTGGATGGCTGACGATAACATCCAACAGCTCGCTCGATCAGAACAAACTATTTGGAATGATACTGTTGGGGTTTGATTCATCTTCGAAAGCTTACAACCTGCACTACATGATAGTCTTCAGTGACTGGAACCCCTCGCACTCGTTCACTAGATTCCTCCGTTCACACATAACCGGCTTCTCTGTTGCTTTCGTCTACCAAAGCTTTCACTGCTCGAGCGATTTCCACCGCACCCTAAAGCCAGTCACATCAGCTTTAAATCAAATGCTCGATTACAAGAAGAGGTGCCCACTGGAGTATCAGAATGGCAGCATATGGAGACCTCGGCGACATTTGCTCCGATGTCGAGCAACTTGCCTCCGACCGTAGAAACTTTATGGAACCTCAGAAGATTTGTTACCTGCGAGATGAGAAAGGATATGAATGAGAGGCTGAACGCTGCGACTGCCATAGGCCAAGGGAGGCATTTACTCGTTGGCGCACGACTTCAATGGGTACTGGATCATGCTTCCTGGAGTCCAAGACACAGGTGAATCAAAGTAGCAAGCAATAGCAGATGAACTAACTTCGTTATCAACAATTTCCCCTCATCATTGTAATCAAGGTCAGCAAACCACTCTAAACTTTTCTCGTTACTCAGTCATGCAAATCAGTACAGCAGTGACTAACCTGCAATGAACGGCACGCCCAGTTCTTCTGCAGCTTGTTGATGAGCTGTTCCAGCAAGCCCCATAAATGCTACACCTTGAGGACTGGCCGCGCTAGATTTGAAGATTTTTGTGACACCAACGACTGCCCGTGCAAGGTCGATAGAGCGTGCTGTCTGACCATAGACAGAGCCGTGGGGTTTTATCTATGGCTATCTCAGCCACTGGACCGTGGAAATCGATATGGAAAACCGTACGTGATTCATTGGAAGGCCGTAGCGTTTCAAAAACCCGTCCAATGCACCTACCTGATAGATGAAGCAGGACTCTAACTCGTCCTGCCAAGTCGTGAACGTTTTAATGCATTTACATTGACTGATGATATTGCTCACCGGCTCAATTGCCATCTCGCGACGCCCAAAACCTTGTAAATCAGGCAAGGAAGGGTGGGCCCCAACGAGGACGTTGTTGGACTTAGCGAGTGCAACTGTCTTGTTCATGACTGAGAAGTCGCTGAGAAGATTTGTTAACACAAATAAGTGGCCAAAGTTGATAAGCGGGACTCAACGAAGCATGAAATCCACAGGCGACATTTGCCAAATGGATTGTCTTCATAAGACCTTCGTCGTCTCCCTGTTTGGTACTCTCTTGAAACAAATGAGACGATGTTTATCCTGCAATGCATACCATAGTGTACAGCGAGAAGCCCTTGTGTAATGTTGACGTGATGAACGGCTACTTATAATGACATGACCTACCTCCCCCATATCACAGTTTACGGTAGCTTTCAATGGTTTGCTCATCGTATATATGTTTCGCGTAGTGTCCGTCCGTAAAGCCAGCGTTCACTGAGGGCAAATGGCAACTTGAAGACAATGTCGCCGATAAGCTGGATATCCTGAAAGTACTGCCAATAATTAAAAGCAGGTGACCTTATGAGTCCCGAAGACCTCGGCCCGCGGTTGCACATGCTGGTGGCTGCGCCCACGACAGTGTGAAGTAGACAACACAAGATAAAATTGGTTCTCATCTGTATCAATGACATGCGAGCTGTCGTATATAAGCATCACATGAGCAACTGTGACTATGTCCGGAACGATGAACAACATCAATGCATAGTGTTACACCTCATTTGCTCAGCTATCACTACTCCACCTGGATGCTATTTTCTCTTGCGGAACCCCTGTTGTACTTTCCCGGCGTGTTTCATCGTTCGGCCACACAGTCTGAACAGTTTGGTCTAATAGTACTTGATCTATATGACTGCATGGTGAGTATAATGAGTATAACATCACGAAGCAAAGCTACCTTCACCAGGGTCTGAGTTGCTTGGCCGCGCATTTCTAGACACCCAAGATGAATTATACGCAGGCGGAAGCCTTTCTGCAGGCGCGTCATGGGGGGGAATCAACGTGCCGGCATCATCTTCTCGAATGTATGGCACCACTTCAGAGAAATCGTCATTCCCAAGATATGATGGGCCAATTGACGGGTTCAAGGACTGGACCCGTTCGGGGCTCAAAGAATGTACCACCGGGAGAGAAGACTCCCTAGACTCGTGATGGCGCCGGACAGGACTTGAACTGCTGTATCTTTGAGTGGCTACTAGGGAATGTTGTGAGTGCGTGAGTGAACACATGAAGAGTACAAGCACCTGGTTCAGCATCCGTAAAGGACGCTCCATAGACAGGCTGGACACCATATGATTGTCCCAGAAACACGGATGGCGTATCCTGGATCATGCGAGGCCGTTTACTTCGTCTGTAACAGTAAACACCACCGAGCACTGCAATTATGGCGAGCGCGGCGCCACCCACTGCACCACCGATGATGGCTGTCCGTGAAGTAGAAGTAGACGAAGCCGCTGAATTAGCATTCCCAGAGCTGGAATGCAATGCTGCAGAAAAAATACTAGTGATAGTGGGAGAGCCACCTGCGGTAGGGGCCGTTGTAGATGTGGGGAGGGATGCTGAAGGTGAGACTTGGTTCGGGCAAACCGTGAAAGTATTGTTGTTGTTTATCGCCTGCTGTTCTACTGCATAATCCGCTGTCCATCGACTAGGCTATCGTGAGGAACGAACTACTGTCTCCTTCGATATTTGACTCACTAGAACCTAGCTCAGGGTCAGAAAAGTACTGTGTGCGTTAAATAGACTTACCAAGATCCATCAGACCAAAAGGTTCTATTGTATATGAAGTTATCGATCTTGATGTTCTCATTGCACACAGCCTGTTGAATATCTACTGGAAGCCTAAATTATACCACGCGGTATTGTGAGTGGGTGCCTTGCCTTCATTCTCAGTTTACTCACGAGTAATTGGTGCTAGTACCACAGGTAGCAAGGTAAGTAGTGTATGTTCCAGGAGCTGCAGAACAAGTGAGTCGTTGTGTTGAAACAGATTTAACTCGTATTACCTGCATCAATTCCAGCTACATTGCCTGCAACAGCATCTTCCTGGCAACTACATGTTTGGATAACTGTTATTAGCGGGCCATGAAAAAGAAGAATATGAATTACTTCATGCAGAGCATGCTCAACACAAATGCAACAGAATTGCAGCAGCAATCCGCTAATCATTAGTTCAGCGAACGTAGTGGATTGGCGCGATGAGAAAGGACCTACAAACTTGATCATCGCAACGGTCACCGGGGGTGGTTGGGTTGAAATTGCCCACCAAATCTGTTTGTCATGCGTGTCAGTGCATGCCAAAGAAAGGCTTGGAGACACCCACAAGCACTGTTGCATATTTGTCGAAGCCGCTGGTATGTCGTGCCTAACTTATTGGTAATTTGCCATCGGAATCACTCCAAATGTTGTATGGACTTACAAGGTGTTTCACCAACCGCGGTTGTGTACCAATCCAGTTGACTGCTAAGACATGTCGTGTTACCAGCTGCTAAAACAACAACTGCATGATATAGAAGTAAGGGGGCAACCCATGCAAGTCTCTGCATGGTCGACAGTCTATGTGGTGCCCACAGTATTGAGGTGCGTGAGGGGAAAGGGTAGATGGTTGGCTTGACACTGGGGCATTAACTTAATAACTGTCCATCAATGACGGCAGTGCGGCGGAGGCTCTTCTCAGTATCAAAGTTGGAAGTACTTGAGCCTCTCGGCGACGAAGTACCGGCCACAGGCAACAATCAAGTTAAATTGATCGGAGTACAAGCAAGTTGCAACCAATACGTACAGCCGTGGCAAAGGTTTGGTGGCCACTCCTTGTCGTTTTTCTCCCCGGCTTGGCTATGTGACTCATCGATCGACATTTAGTACTGCTGCGAGACCTTTGCGAGGCCCACGATGTTCGACTGGTAGTAGGTCACGGTATAGTTATACTAGTAAGAATTAATTTTGGTCCCTGCTTCTAAGAATAACACCAAAAATTCACACCCAAACTTACAGAGACTTGAGCCAAGCGTTCTATGGAGCTATACTACTTGAACACATGATGTCAGTCACGATGTGCATGGCTTTGGCCCTTATCAGACTCAATTCAGACGTCTCTTCTGACAGGCTGATATATATACCAATGCCTGGAATCATGGTACGAAGAGAAGCCCATTCCAACACTACCACTAACATGTCACTCAATAGTGAATACGCTAGCCACAAGCTATTAGTTGCAAATAGAGGAGAGATTGCTGTTCGAATCATTCGAACTGCTCAGCGGCTGGGTATAGCAACAGTAGCCATCTACACCTCGTCAGACGCCCTCTCCCCTCACGTCGCCATCGCAGACGAAGCCGCTCATTTGCAGAACTACGCCAGCGACCAACAGCAACTAGCATCAGAATCGAAGCTGTACTTATCCAGTGCTACCATCATTATGATATGCAAGCAGTATCGGATTACCATGGTTCATCCAGGTTATGGTTTCCTCTCGGAGAATGAGGAATTTGCTCTTTCTGTAGAGGCAGCCCAGATGATCTGGCTCGGTCCCCAACCAGACGTTATTCGGATCATGGGTCTAAAACACGAAGGCCGGCGTCTTGCTGCGAATGCTGGCTTGCAGCTCGTTCCAGGGTCTCAAGGACTTGTAAACACTCTCGATGAGGGCCTAAACATAGCAAATACGATTGGTTTTCCTGTGATTCTGAAAGCGACAGCTGGGGGAGGAGGCATGGGTCTTATTGTTTGTCAAAACGGCAGCGATCTCTCCAAGTGCTTTATCAGTGCTCAAGAAAGGGCAACTGTAAGTATGATGGTTTACGCGCTTGTTGAAGCTGAATATACATTCCCCAGTCAATGTTTCGTAATGGGGGAGTTTTCATTGAACGATACTACCCTGCAGCACGCCATATCGAAATCCAAGTTAGTATTCGTGAAGCTCGAATTCACGCTATGCTACATTTCCGCATAACAGGTGTTCGGTAATGGACTGGGTGATGTGGTACACATGGGGGAGAGGGAATGCAGCGTTCAAAGGAGACATCAAAAGGTCGTGGAAGAGACCCCAAGTCCATTCGTCACGGGTCATTCAGGTAGTTATTAAGAATGTTGATGGAGTAGCCTGTGTTGATATTTCGCAGATCTTCGTGAAGATATATGTGATGCAGCCGTGAAGCTGTGCAGAGCTATCAAATATGCATCCGCAGGTTGGACAGCCTATGATGATCGCTGGTCGTATTTTACTTATTGCAAGTCAGGTACGGTGGAATTTCTTGTGGACGATGAGTCGGGCGAGTTTTTTTTTCTTGAAATGAATACACGTATCCAGGTGCGTAGAGTTGTGATGAATGTCGGGGAACACGTCCTCTAATTGCATGCAGGTCGAGCACGCCATCACAGAGGCTATACATCCTGGCCTGGACCTCGTAGAAATGATGGTAGCACAAGGAATTGCACAGCAGTCTGAGGCGAGAGGTCTTGATCGTGCGAATCAAAGCATGATGCAAGCTATCTACGACAAGAACCTTGCTGAGTCTCGCATCCACGCCATCGAAGCCAGAGTCTATTGTGAAAACCCCTCAGAAGGCTTCAAACCCAGTCCAGGCATCCTACAGTTCGTGGAATTCCCAAAAGAGGATTGGCTTCGCGTTGACAGTTGGGTATGTATGTCGCTTGGTGTCCAACACTAAAGCTTCAAATGTAAACTTTGCAGGTGTCGACGGGAACGGAAGTAACTCAGTTTTTCGACCCTTTACTATGTAAATTAATCGTGACTGGTTCAACACGAGAACAAGCAGTTTCAAGAATGGTTCAAGTATTGAAAGCCTGCAAAGTCTTTGGCCCGCCAAACAACCTGGCCTACCTCGCTTCAATATGTAACAGCACTATTTTCAAAGAAGGGAAGGCCACAACACGGTTTTTGGACAACTTTGATTTCTCCCCAAGGTGCGCGCAGTTGGATATGACCCAAATGGCTCACAGTGCTGATTAGTTTATTTTGAAGCGCATTCACTGTGCTATCAGCTGGTATTGAAATGACTATCCAAGATCTACCCGGCAGGCGTATCGGGCTAGGCATCCCGCGAAGCGGCCCCATGGATTCTCAGGCATTCAGTGCAGCCAACATACTGGCTAGGCAATACACCGGAGACGGAAGCATTAGAGATTGTCGTCCTCCCTGGCGCCGGATGCAAGCTGAAATTCCACAGTTTCGCTATTGTAGCGATAACTGGCAAGTCAGCAACTGTGAAGATCAACGGAGAACAGGTTTCCATGTGGGCTCGCCTCGCTGTCCCCGAAAATGCGATTCTCGATATTGCGGTCCTCCCAGGTCCTGGGTTCAGAATATATCTGGCAATCAGAGGTGGCTTCCCTGAAGTGCCACAATATCTTGGATCCAAGTCGACGTCGATGGGCCTTGGAGGCTATCAGGTGCTCCGAATTTTATATTTGGTTGAATTTAGTTTTTGCTCACCATCCCCTCAGGGAAGATCGCTTAGAGTTGGCGATCAACTTTCCTTCGGTTCGCAATCATCATCAGAGCAAGATGAAATAGATCCGATAGCCTTCTTACTCCCCAAAAGCCTCATCCCGGTCTATCCTCAAGATTGGGTTATCAAAGTTTTGGCTGGACCACATGATGATGCGGTAATTTTGACCCCAGAAGGAAACGCCAAGTTTTACTCGACCAAGTGGACCATCAGTTCATCAAGTAATAGAATGGGGATACGGCTGGAGAGCGATCAAAGCATAGATTGGGCACGTAACACTGGTGGCGAGGGAGGGTCTCACCCAAGCAACATTCTAGATAACGGATATGCGTTAGGGACGGTTAACGTGAATGGAGACACGCCCGTTATCTTAACAAATGAAGGACCAGACATGGGTGGGTATGTCTGCGTGTGTACCGTCGCGACTGCGGAAAGGTAAGTGACTTTCCAAATCAGGTGAGTCCTGCTCATCGGTACCCACAGGTGGAAGCTGGGGCAATTGAGCCCTGGCAGTACGGTGACCTTTCGCAAGGTTTCATGGCAGGATGCACAAGCTTGTATGAAAACCTCGCTTAGATGGATTGAGGCCGTGCAGGCCGTTATCGCTGGATCTCAACCACATGCGAGCTTCATAGATAGTGCTTTGGAAGGTAGGGAATTATCCGGAATCCTGCACAGGAATGAGTGGCTACCAGGAAGTTCGAGACCTGCTGTAACGTTCCGACAAGTGCGTTCACTACATTACGGCCATTGGTGACCGTCATATCTAACGCCTAGATCAGGCTGGCGACTCTGCTATTCTGGTAGAATACGGAGAGATGCATCTAGACTTCGCTCTCCGAGTGCGCGTACACGCGCTGGAATCGGAAGTGCGTAAGAGGAACATTAAAGGCATATGGACATTTGCGCCATGCATTCGATCCACGATGGTGCGTTTCCTTTTATCGACAAGTTCTCGGTCTGATCGGAGTTGTTATCAGTGCCATTATGATCCTTCAGTTATCTCCCAGGCTGACGTACTCGCTGTCCTATTAAGCACGGAACGCTCATTACCAGATTCCCCATTAGACCTCCAGTTCTCTGGGCGCAAGATCACATTCCCGATCGTGCTCGACGATCAGTGGTGTCGTGATGCCTTGCAACGATACATGCGAACAACCAGAAATAGCGCTGTTTATTTACCAAGCAACATCGATTACCTCGCGCGAAATAATGGTCTGGAGGGTGGTGCCGATGAGGCACTTCAGAAACTGATGGATTCAGCTTGGGTACGTGTCCTTATGAACAAACATCATTGTATTTTGGCGCTTAAATCAATCCAAAGCTCGTTTTTGGCGTCGGATTTTATCTAGCCTGTCCTTTCTTAGTTCCAGTAAGACGATATCAACGGAATGATTTTGATGTTAATAACAGAGCAGATCGACCCACGGTGCCGTCTAGTCGGGCAGAAAATGAATCCTTCACGAACATACACCCCTAGTGTGAGTTTTATTAGTTCCGAAAAAATCAAATAGATGATACGTCAAATTGCTGCAGGGAGCGGTCGGCATCGCTGGTCCCGTGGCTGCCATTTATCCGGTCATCTCGCCTGGAGGATACCAGCTGTTTGGACGCACGCTTCCAGCTTGGCAAACTTGGGGAAAGGGGCCTGATTTTGCCTCCGATCGACCGTGGCTGCTTCAGCCATTTGACCAAGGTAGGTGCCTGGTTGATGCAGGTCCGTTGTTCGCTTCTTTACTAACAACAATCTTTCGAGGTCCTCTTCGAACCCGTCAGCGAGGAACGCTATCTCGAGGTATGTCTGTTTCGCTGGAGGGATATTTCTGAGCTGACACGTCACGAAGATTGAACAGGAATTCAATGCGGGACAATACAAATTCAAGGCAAGTGACCTCTCACGGTGTGAATTATGGGTGGAAATTGTAATGCGGTGATAGATCGAGCCTGCGGTCTTCTCCATGGCAGCGTACATCACACATACCGACAGTATACAACAAGAGATTGCGGAATTTAAGCGGAAAACAGGCAGAGGGACAGCGAGAGAGGAAGCACGGTCAGTGAGGTCTTGAACGACGAGCTACAACCTATTGATTTCATGCGATGGTGTGAAGTGAGACCGAACTGTTGCGTGAATGGCAGGCACAGAAAGCGGTGAAAGCTCCACCCACGGTATTGGTAGATGATACAGGTATAGGCAGTAGGGTTCGGATGTCGAAATAATTTCAACTCACTCATCCGCAGACTTGGGACCTGGTAGCACAAGCGTCACTTCTTCCATATCAGCATCTATTTGGAAAATCAAATGCCAGCCTGGAGATGTCATACAATCTGCCGATGACATTCTGGTCATCCTCGAAGCGATGAAGACCGAGATTAATATTCTTGCAGGAGAAGAAAATGTTGGCAAGGTAGTGAAAAGCTTGGGTAAAGGGATTAGGGAAGGAGCAATTGTCCAAGTGGGGGACATCCTCGCATGGTTTGAATAATTATGTGTAGACTGTAAGGTTGTAAGATTAAACTGGGCGCAATGGATATTTAAAGGCAAATGTCTTGCCCTACACCATACTTGAAATTACCAACTCCCGACGTTATCTTACACAATCTACTCGAGTGGTGTACTTTCCAGTCACCTTCTTCCAAGCGTATGAAATTGGCCTCACTACTAATGCACTTCACATTGGGAAATGCTGGGATTATCGTCCCGTTCAAGTGGTCAGAGACAATATCGAGCGTTGTCGTCGTCGTCGTCCATTCACTGGCTGTGACGAAGTAAAGATTGAGTTCCTGCAAGCTAGGAAGGGTACCAGGTCCATCACAGAGAGCGGATACCAGCTGCCACGAAGATAAGCCGGGGAGGTAGCAATACAAGCGAGATGATAGCATACCATCTCCACGTCATGCTGTGGCACAAACAGTCCAACTCCATTTATAGTAAAAGAATGCAAGCGAGTGAAGAGCTTTTTCAGCGAAAGCTTGCCAACGAGCGGCGAAGCCAACGCGTATTTGTTGACTCCAAAGGTTACGCTCTGGAGGCCAGGCAGATGCCCAAACACCTGAAGTAGCGGTTCCATGTCGAAAATTCGTTGATTGAGAAACAAATTGTCGATGGCAAGCTGACGAAAGGCCACTATCTTCAGGACTGCCTCTACATCACTTGCATTGAGCGAGCGCATGGAAGTAGTTGCGATTGGCCGAAGGGTGAAGGTAGTTGGAGAACCAAAGAGCGTAACATTACGAACGGTCAATTCTTTATCGGGCGGATCTTCTATGAATGAGCAAAGGTAGAACTCAAGGACGTCGAGCTGCTTCAACTGTGCTAGCGCTTCCCAATGATCCTTCTTCACAAAAGAAGAAGAGAAGACTACTTTTTGAATCTTGGACATGCGCGCCATTGCTTTGCAATATAACGTTGCAAACGGAAAGAGGAGCCTACTTCGCCTCCTTGTTAAGGTTCCAAAGTTCGAAAGTGCACTCCTTGACGTATAGTGCAACTGACTTGGCTGGCTCAGTATTTGCTACGATTTGTCTGGCCCATTTCGTCTTGCGTGAAGCCTGCATCCTGTTGCCGTTGGTATCCCCCGAGAACGTGACACGTTCGAAGACACGGGGTAACGCGACGGAGCAGAAAAAACGGCACACGAGTGCGAGGGGTTTCGACGTATTCCTCTTTCAGTGGCTGATCGGTTGGTGCAATGAGCTCAAAAATTTCAAGATATATTTCGTTTGGGATGAGAGGCAAGATAGTCTGACCATTCCGGCGAAGAGGAGCTAACACACATTGTAGGGCGGGTCACGATCACAAATTTGAAAATTTACAGTTGATGGTACTTACTAGACCAGGAGAAATCCATGTTTAAAATTATACCGCAGATTGATAAGATGTTGACTAATGTCAGATGAACACACTACAAAGGTGGTAAGCTGGTAACTAGAGGTTGACCCGCTTGAGCTGGAGGACTGCTGTCAACAATATTTTTGGGAACCGTTGTTGTTATACTAGATACAAATACTTAGAAACAAGGACCCCAGGTGGACCTCTCGGTGCAACTTGCGGTCCGATTGAAGGTTTCAGTGAGCAGTATATCGCATACTGGTACTTGCTGCGTGCTGCGTATCAATTAATAGACGTACTACTTCAAGCTTCAAGCTTCAAGATCCGAGTCTGCCGGATGAATCAGATGTTCGCAATCTCGTCACTTGTATACGTGATGAAGACAAAGGCTGCTACTAGTAGCTAGAAGTCTCAGCGTCCCAGTACTAGTATGTCTCATCAAAGTGGTTCAGATCCGCGGCAAATCTCTTGGCCAGGGATGATTCAATCGAGAACAAGCACAGCGCAGAGCGTGACGTTAATTCCCACTTATTGAATAATCATTGAGTTTGAACGGTAAGCTTCTTCACCTTATCTGATTTATCAGATAGTGCACACGAACCGGGTACAGGGTCTGATGACCGGTGGTATAGTGTGAGATATGGTTGTGCTCGAGTAGTTGAATACTTAGTGGGCATTACAGGTGTGGAAGCTCCGTAGGTTAAGCCCAATAGATCACCAGGTGGAATCAATCTGCCAGTCAATTATCCAAAAATGATCACCCAAGTTCAGCAAGTTTATTTTTAAGAACAAGTGAACATGTGCTTCAGAAAACCCTTTGAAGCCATCTCACATGGTTCATCACGGTGGCAAAGCGCAGTTTTATGTAAAATGCCCGAGCAACGTTATAGACCAGGAACCTTGATGCTATTATCGACCAATGAATGTGCCAAAAAGGTTCCAGGACATTGTAAGGGGATCGCGGGTATCCAGCCAGCCTATCGTACGGTACTAGTGAGGTGTCCCATGAGTGAGTGTTGTACTAGTGGCACCCGAACAATATTGACGGTAAGCATATATACTAACAGGGATCTGATCGGCGGCCGGCGGTGTCAAGATCGAGATTCACATACAAATTTACATTTATGGTAGTTTACCGGAACAAATTATTATGTCCCATGTGTATCATGATTCTTGCACTTACATACTTTCGAAAACCGTACAAAAGCCGGGATCACTACGATGCGTATCCCCCGGCCGTTCGTCCTTCCTCGCTATCATGTCGACTTATGCTGGTCATTCCAGCACCGGTGGCTCAATCGAAAAGGTTGACTCTGAGAAGGCAGCCCGTCAGTTTATTTCCCCTCCATTATACCAATATTCACTCATACTCACCCCGAACATTTGGTTCCAGTCGGTGCTCTGCCCCTTGCTGATTTTGATGACCCAAACATCGACAAGGAAGAAGCCATAACTGGCATTTTAGGTTAGCCCATCACATCCTCCACTAAAATTCACTCTGAACACACCCTCCCAGAGGATGACTCTCCTTATCCCGAGGTCCGATCGGCTGTATCCAACACTGACGACATGTCCATACCCTGTAGCACTTTCCGTGCATGGGTTATGGGTGAGTCCAGAATCTTTTGCTACGCGTCATGTAGCTCATTACAACTCAGGCTTTTTCTGGGTTGTCATCATCCCTGGTTTGAACCAGTTCTTTTATTTTCGATATCCCTCTGTCAACCTCACCGGCATGGTCGCTCAATTGTTGTCATTCCCCATGGGTCGTCTTTGGGCAGCTGTCGTGCCTAATATTTCGGTGTTCGGAGTCCACTTGAACCCCGGACCATTCACGATCAAGGAGCATGTTTTAATCACCATTATGGCTACCGTTGGATGGCAATCTGCGTATGCGGTACGTGCGCTTACTAGCGTTTGCATCAACACAATTAATATCATCTTGCCAGACCGATATCGTTGCGGTGCAGAGAGTGTTCTACAATCAAACTTTCAACTTCAGCTGTGAGTGTGTTCACAGTCTGAACGATATCATTAGGTCTGATTTCCGCATAGATCAATGGATGTTGGTCATGTCTACCCAGCTCATTGGCTTCTCACTGGGTGGTATTATGCGCCGATTCCTGGTTCTTCCTCCCTCCATGAGTGAGTCATGCCTCATACTTGTTTCAAGAGAATTAACACTTTTATCAGTTTGGCCTACAAATTTAGTCAACTGCGCCCTATTTAACACGCTCCACGCGCAGTCATACGCTGGTATGGGCAATCGCGGTGGTATTTCAAGAGAGCGTTTCTTCCTTTATGTCTTCTGCGGGGGATGTGCATGGTACTTTGTCCCAGGTTATCTGTTCCAAGCCCTCAGCTACTTCACCTGGGTGTGTTGGATCGCCCCAGATAACGTTGTCGTCAACCAACTCTTCGGCTATGAAAGCGGCCTTGGCATGAGCTTGATCACGTTCGACTGGTCCCAAATTACTTACGTTGTCAACCCACTCGCAACCCCATGGTGGAGCGAAGCTAACGTTCTCGTTGGCTTTGTGTTCTTTTTCTGGATCCTTACCCCGATCCTTTACTACACTAACACCTGGTATTCTAAATTCCTGCCTATCATGTCGCGCACGTCATACGATAACACGGGTGCCACCTACAATGTCACTGCAATTCTTGGCACCGATGGCACGCTTAATGCCACTGCATATGAAGCATACAGCCCTCTGTTCCTGTCCACGACTTTCGCAGTATCTTACGGTCTATCATTTGCGTCGATCACCGCCACCGTTACGCACGCTATCCTCTTCTTCCGTAAGCAGATCTGGGCCCAGTCGCGTCGCTCGATCGATGAACAACCGGACATTCATGCACGTCTCATGGCCAGATACCGTCAAGTTCCAGAGTGGTGGTACCTCGTCGTCTTCGTGGTCATGTTTGTTTTCGGCATCATTGTCATTGAAGTCTGGCCTACCGAGTTCCCGGTGTGGGGCTTTGTTCTCGCACTTATAATTGCTTTCTTCTACATCATTCCCATTGGGATGATTCAAGCTATCACGAATCAACAAGTTGGTCTCAATGTTATCACGGAGTTGGTCGTTGGATATGCTATCCCTGGACGTCCATTGGCAATGATGCTTTTCAAGGCAGGTAGAGTCCTTGCGTTGTCTAGTGCAGTCGCTGACATGCCTATCTAGACATGGGGTTACATTACCATGTCACAAGCGTTGCAGTTCGCCCAGGACTTCAAGCTCGGTCACTACATGAAAATTCCTCCCCGCACAATGTTCTTTGCACAGGTCAGCGCGGCTATTATCGCCGGAACCGTGCAGCTCGCCGTGCAAGCTTGGATGTTTACCAACATTGTGGATATATGTAGTACGACACAACGTGATGGTTTCATCTGCCCCAATACTCAAGTGTTCGGCACTGCATCGATCATCGTAAGTTTTTGTCTGATCTTTACTGCGTCTTTTTTGTTTATTAAAGATGGTCTGGTAGTGGGGTGTCATTGGTCCTCAACGTCAGTTCTCCCCTGGCCAGATGTATGGTGGCCTCCTTTGGTTCTTCCTCATTGGCGCGCTTTGCCCTTTCACTGCTTGGCTTATTTCCCTCAAATGGCCGAACAGCATCATCCGTTACATCAAGTGTGTATCCATTTTTATTGCACTCGCAAAACTAATAATGAGCACATAGCTTCCCCGTAATCTTCACCGGAACATCCGGCATACCACCAGCGACCGCCGTCAATTATGTGCCTTGGGCAATCGTCGGTTTCATATTCCAGTATGTCATCCGCCGCCGCCATTTCTCATGGTGGACAAAGTACAACTGTACGTATCTTTCCCCTCCACTTCACGATATCCTGCTAACACCCCGTAGATGTATTGGCTGCTGCACTTGACTCTGGACTCGCAATTTCTATTGTTCTGATCTTCTTCTGCCTGCAATATCCGCAGAACGGCAGCATTGGTGCAAACACCGTCGCAAAATGGTGGGGCAACAATGTGTTCCTGGATACAGCAGATGGGAAAAGCATGTCTTACTACACTATCAACGGCACCTTCGGGCCATCAACATGGTAGGGAATATTGTAGTTGTACGGTATGAGGGTGTTATATATATTACGAATGTCAAAATATTGTACATTGCGATACACAATCCATTTTTTCATGTGACAGCAGAGAGCCAACCTTCTAGGAGCCATTGCATTGTTCTACCGTCTCGGAAGGAAGGCGCACTAAACATGACTCCCTAGTACCTGTGGAAACAAATCGGAGACCCGCATTGCAGCGCTCAAAGTCACTGTATTCACCTCCAACGCTCAAGCTTCAAGTCTCAAACGCCAGCTGCCCGCTGGACAGGCCTGTAAAACTGAACTCCGGAAAAGAGAGGTGGTCTGCGGAGAGAGGAATATTTGGAGGGAGGTGTGTATTTTCCCCGTGCACGGCAGCCGTTGTGGCGAGTCCCGGCTCACCACGATATTTGTTCTGTAGCACAAGGTATATTTAGAACTTTGACGACAACCAAGTTCTCTCGCTACAGCCGTTCGAGAGAATCCCTCGGAACTCGAGTACGAACATTCGAACCTTTCGGCTCACGCAATCATTTATTTTTCAGACGTCGCTGTCGCTCGCCAAAATAACTACGATTCACACCAGGCATGCGTGTGCTGTGTTTGCGACAATCCGGCAGTGGACTGGCTCAAGAAGGAAAACCAAGCGCTCATCAAGCGTCTGCGTGAGCTTGAGAGCAGTGGAGCCGTGGCAGCTGACAGCCAGGCTGACGAGATAAAGACTTGCTGTAAAAGCAACAGATGTGAAACTTGGGGTTTGGACATATGCGAGCACGACATGATGCAGTTAGTAGGCATTCCGTTCCTTCCAATTCTGATTAAACCTAGTCTCCCCAAGCCAAACCATTAGAGGAAGGAAGACAGTCGATCCTTCCAATCAAGGATTACCTCGTGAACCGCTCTTCAAGCTAGTACGCATTTCCTCAATCTTATTAGAGATACGAGATAAATAACCTTCATAACAGTGACCTGTAAACCAGGCTACCAGGACCAAACGGCTAGAAGCATACACAATCGTCCATCTACACACAACTCGCCACCGCAGCTCCATTTTATGCGACCTTCCAAGCCCAAAAGGGACCTAGCCCACCGACCATGAACCGTCAATAAACACCCTCAGCAAAGCACAAGCACTCACCAAGCGGGTCCGGTCTCTCATGCATTGCCCCAGTCCACATCCCCAAAAACCCAACCGCCGCACCCGGTCCCCCAATTTGAACTGCCTCTGACGACCATTCTGGCTCATTTGACCCGGCTGCAGTAGATACCTTCGAATCAGTCAGCAATGTGTACGCAAGGTATCATAACTAGTATGCTACAAGATGGAAAACGGAGTGCTTACTGTTTGCCATCGAATAGCCCCATCACCGATCATGCTCACTGTACCAGTGACTTTGCGTAATTCGGTTAAACTGTGATCAGACCCTAAAGATTCACCCTCGAAGTGGATGGTTGGGAGGGCGCGAGTGGCGTTGCCTGGTGGGATGCGGGATTCGGAGTAGCCAGTTATGCGAACAGCAATGGGTATGATTCGGCAAGCTTCTTGGATGTCGTCTTGGAGGAACCTTTCTGGTGCGAGCTATAGCGGCAGCGGATTAGAGGGTACGCTTTTCAGATGATGTGGCTCACGTTGTGCACTGCAAAAGAAGCGTTCAATATGAGAAGGTGTAGGATGGACCGAGAGTACTTACTCAAGAGATCTCGGTAATCAAGCCAGCAAACACATCGCCTGTGATATCAACGGAATTGAGTTTTTCGAAGCACGTATCGCCCGAAACTTACTTCCAAACACCACTAATACCTGCCCAATCCCATCCCTCAACTTCGCCCTGCTTGCTTTTCTCACTGCCCTCGGATCTATCTCCCTCCCCAGGTCGATTTGCCCATGCATTCCAATACCCAGGTGATCCACCGATGGACATCGCATACATTTTGCGCATATACGGCAAAACGTCACTTGCCGAAAATGGAGGCGGCATCTCCCTTAAATTCGCCTCGACAACGATACGCGCAGACGCAAGCCACACATAGTCCGGTACGAGCTCATACGGCTCGATTGGTGGATCCACATCAGGAACGCGGTGCCCGTGCATCAGTCCAAAGTGCATCAGACCCAAGTCGTCATCATCATCGTCCTCGTCATTGTCTTCGTTCTCATCCTCATCCAAGATTTCGAGATGGTTTGACTCGGGTGAATCGGTGGTGTTGCGTCGCACGGGTTGGAAGGGACCCCACATGCGTGCAGGTCCGAGGTAGCGCATGTCGTAGACACGTCTGCGTGCAAGGGTGCGGGCATCAGCGGATTGCCCTTCAGGGGTGTATAACAAGGGTCGCGAGCATGTGATGGGTAGGGGAGGCATGTCTTCGTCCTCATCAGGAGCAGAAGTTGAGTCTAGTGATACTGATGTAGATGCTGCTGGCGAGGCTCTAGGAACGGATGTGTATGCGAACTTGGGTACTGGCGCGGCAATAGGTATAAAGCCGGTACAGCAGACGAGTTTGTGGAATAGCTGGCCGACTACTGATCCGTCCCACTGCGACGCAGATGTTAGAGTAGGCTGGTACGGCGCATGACCCTGGACATCGAAGGACAGCTTTGCCATTAGCGTGCGCGTGAGCTCAGGAGGGAGTCCGATTTCTAACAAATCCTGAAGCCACGGCACATTGACGCTACCGAGCATGGCACTGTAATTCGCTGTAAGCAAGTGAAGCAGGGGCGGTAACAGGGGAGCGTTGGTCATGGGTGCGAAAGGGGACTTGGACTCGGGAAAGTCATTTAGGATGGTGAGAGATATACGCGGGGATGACGGGAAGGGCAAGGAGGTGGTGATGACTGAGAGTAGTGCTTTCACTACGGATAATGATGGCACTGGTATATCGAGAACCTTCGACTGCGAACTTACTGGGGCAGTCGTTTGGACCGGACGTCTGATATACCTAGCTGCGCTGATACGGTCAATGTATTCTCGAGTCCAGTTGAACTCCAAGTTATGATGACCATCTGACATGGTGGTCAGATGATTCAGAGCGGGTCTGGGATCATCAAAAGTAGTAAGGAAGATCTCCCGCCACAGGTGTTGGTCTGGACAACAGTAGATTAGCTCATAAAAGAACTTGCTGGTCTGGGAGAGGGCGGCTATGGAATTCGGGTTCCCGGAGGCTGCGGCCACGATAAGCACGGCTTCAATGAGTTCTGCGGGAAGGTTAGCGATGGCAGAAGCCATGTCCGAAGAGTTGGTAGGTAAGGCCGAGCTCGCTGTGCAGCTGATATATAATATCACACACAGTCGTCACGTGTAGCCGCATCAATAAGCAATCGTAAAGGACGATAATCTAGTATGCAAAAATATCGTGTAAGATGTTGAACAGACGGGTCCTCACTCTACAGTGCCAGATGCTGTTATAGAGATTTTGCTGTTTGTGCGCCCACTCCTCGTGCCCTGACCTTCAATATTCCTCACAACATCCATCCCTTCTTCTACTTCACCAAAGACAACATGCTTGCCATCCAACCACGACGTAACCACTGTGGTGATGAAGAACTGCAAAGCATCAATATTCAATCCAAAATTCACCAAATAACCACGCACTTGGGAACCGTTGGTGTTCGGGCCAGCATTAGCCATGGACAACAATCCGGGCTTCTCATGCTTCAGCTTAAAGTTTTCATCTACAAATTTAGATGGTCGCCACATGGTAAGGAAGATGAACTTCAAAGGAACCGACCTGCGAACTTCTCGCCGTATATTGACTTCCCACCTGTACCATCGTGCCGCGTGAAATCACCCCCTTGAAGCATAAACTATAAAAAGACCATATTCATCAGCCATAGGAGGTGTCAAAGAGGAAGAATATGATTACAGCGGGAATGACACGGTGAAAAGTGCTTCCAGCATAGCCGAAGCCGTGTTGGCCCGTAGCAAGCTCTCTAAAATTCTTCGCGGTCTTTGGGACGACGTCGTCGTATAGCTTGAACGTTATACGTCCGGATGGCTTGTTGTCTATGGCAATATCGAACTGAATTTTAAAGAAGACTTGGTTCTGGTGAAACCTGATGACAGTTGTTGAAACTTACGAAGACCCGCGAAGACCTGGTAGGTGCGTGATATCAAATTTTTGACGAGTGAGTAAGAAGATATTTACTTACAGAGGCTTCGCAGTCGACGCGGAGGTCGTGAAACGACGAAGAAACGAATTCAACATGGGTTGGTCAGATAGATATGATGCACCTGCAACAAGTACGAAGACACCTGCACCTGTCAAAACAATTGTTTTTTGCAAACCCATTCTACTCAACACAGCCACCACTCAACCGAAAAAAAAACTAATAAATAAACCATTTAAGTCGCTACCTCCCATAATCAGCATAAAATACTGTCCGCGATAATCAAGCGTGAACGTTAACTTTGATTATCACTGGCCTAACGGTTAATGGCGTAACGGTCAAGGGACGACACTCTCGGCTACTTACAGCTACCTCATCAAAGTTCAAACGTTCACTAGCTGGTTTACTGCCATTGGTTATTGCAGCATACTACTACTAGTCACGGTTACCAACAGATCCCGGAGTCCAGGACTGAATTCAAAATGGTCGGAGCACTGACTCCGATATATAGTCGCTATCCTTTGAAAGCCGGAAATCGGACTTGGCCTTCAATGTTTTCTATCTCTACCTGCCACTTCCTTGACTCGAATAATGAATTATTCGGTAACTTTTCTGGAGACATCTGAGTCATGCATGGCCGTGAACCGATTAATCAGGGAGATGAGCACCATTTATCGTGGCATCGAATTCTCGTTATTTATGTATTTTTTTACCAACATTACTACATAGTATCCGGTTGAGCTGTGCCAGGCTGTGCCAAGGTCTAATTATCCGGGTTCCCCAGTGTCACGTCCTTCGGACTCCCCGCTGATATAAATGTCTCGGATTCATCAATATTTGGATCAGGCGTGTCTTCACCCATCACAGAGATGCGTCGAGTCCACCTCGCCGTGCTCCTTGGCTTTGCTGCTTTCGCCGCAGCTTTGTCATCACCCTCTACTACTCGTAACAACCACCGTTCAACCAAAGATCCCAAAGTGCTAATCCTTGGAGGAGGCGTTGCTGGTGTTATTGCCGCGCGCACATTGCACCGCAAGGGTATTGATGACTTTCTGATTGTCGAAGCGCGTGATGAGCTAGGCGGAAGGATGCAGGATTATACCATCGGCGTCCCTGGAAAGCAGTACACCATCGAACTCGGTCCTAATTGGATCCAGGGAACGCAGACTGGCAATGGAACAGCTAATCCCATTCTGACGCTCGCTCGAAAACACCACGTTAAGAACCAGTATAATGATCTTGATGGCAGTGTCAGTACGTTTACTATTTTATTTTCATCTTATTCTATCTGGACTCATCACTAGTGAACAGCAACTTATGACTATAATGGGTTTAAAGATTATCTTAACCTACTGGACACATCAGTTGATCAATTCAGTCAGGTCGGAGCTGTTGCAGGTATGGCATCGTGCAGTTTGTCAGTTGTGTGTATTCACATGTTCCATAAGGGGGACGCGTCAAGACGCAGCAGGTTGACCTCAGCCTCCAAAGCGCGTACGGCATCATCGGCGCAACTCCAAAGAACATGTACGAAACAGCTTGCCAGTATTATCAAGTCGACTGGGTACGTGAATCTGTCCTATCCAAGCATACCGCGTTCCTAATTTCAAACTCGTCAGGAATGCAAGTTTTTTCTTCTTAGACGTTTTCATCCTGCTGATCATTTCAACTGCACATCCAATAGATGCACAGGTACGAGAACTCGATCACATTGTTTCGATGCGATTCTCACTGTCTCGTACTAGTCCCCAGACCAGAATTCGTGGATAGCATCAGCTTGGGTATTTACATAGTATTCTAGTGCGCACCTACCAGCCTGACGATCCCACAGAACAACAACTTTACCTATGACGTCGATATGGGTGGCTTCTCGGACAATAACAACCTCTGCATCGACCAGCGTGGCTTCAAAACCATCATCCAGGCCGAGGCTGCGGATTTTCTTCAACCCGAGCAAGTCTCGCTGAATTCCGTTGTCACGACGATTGCATACAGCGGGGATGGGGTGACGGTCACACTAAAAAATGGTACTACTCTCACCGCGGACTACGTGCTTTGCACGTTTAGTATTGGAGTACTACAATATGGTGATATCGTATTTAAGCCTGCTCTTCCCTCGTGGAAGATCGAGGCCATTCAGAGCATGGTCATGGTATGTTTGCTCAGTGATAATATTTTCGACGACTCAACTGCCCCCAGGCCACGTATACAAAAATATTCTTGCAATTCAATGCAAAGTTCTGGTTTGATACCGAGGTACGAATGAATATCACCGTTAAATGTTTCTGAGACATATCCGGAATAGATGGCTATCTATGCAGACAAGGAACGGGGGAGGTATCCGATCTGGCAGAGTCTCGACCACGTGAAATTCTTCCCTGGTTCTGGTCTCGTCTTTGTGACTGTCACTGTAAGTCCGCATGATTCATGCTCTATGCACCTCTGTCGCTCATTCCAGGGATATTTAGGGTGATTACTCACTGCGCATCGAGGGCATGCAAGATTCGGATGTTCAAGAGGAAGTCATGGAAGTCCTCCGAGCCATGCACCCCAACATTACTGTTCCTGATCCTGTCGCATTCCATTTTAAACGCTGGCATGCAGACCCACTCTTCCGTGGTTCCTACTCCAACTGGCCTCCTTCTTTCCTTCCCGGTCATGCGGAAAATCTGAGGGCTACTGTAGACAAGAGCCTCTGGTTTGCGGGTGAAGCTACGAGCTTGAAGTATTACGGTGCGTGTTTCTTCTGACTGCCGTTTTTTGTTCATGGAGGTGATATAAATGTGTGTAGGTTTCCTTCATGGTGCGTATTTCGAAGGGTTGAACGCTGGGGAGGAAATCGCCAAGTGTGTTGAGGGCCCTGCATGCACTGGGCGGGAGTATCTGAATAGTGTGGTCGATGCTTCCCCTTATCCGTTCGTGGCTATCACGCCTTAGGTGTTCATAGTTATCCCAATCTTTAGTGTCGTTTTCGAGCACCTCAATTATTAACTCCTCCTAAAGGAACGACCCTCTTCATTCGCCTCATGACCCGGTACGGAAGGAATGAAGATGATCCTTTCTTTACAGTAGTATCCTGCCTTACAAGCCTGATAGCGACGGATGGCCTAAATAATATGCGCACCTTCACAACTCCATGAGCCCTCGCAAAATATTCTGCAATAGGGTTCCACTTGTCAGTCACCAGTACCGGTCAAGATTGGAATGACATCATTCTTGCAGTAGTTGTGAGACAGTCTTCCCGATGCCGTGACGCAATCGGATCGTCGGATGTCTCACAAATGCGAATGTCATGCCGTCGTCAGTCTGCGTATAAAAGCTAGCTGCCCTCTACTAACACTGCTACTTCATTTCCCTTCACCTCACTTGCTTTACGTTTAACTTCACGCTGCATCACCGGTACCCTATGAGACGACCCCGAACTACAAACTCAGCACGATCCAATCGATCTCGAATATGCGACTCAGACTACATGGACTTATTCTGACACAAGGCTCGAGGGACTTTCAAGGCTTAGTGACTCGATTAGCACCCCCTAAAATTAAAACGACTGATCGATGTTTACCATGAATGGGCGACTCCTACTGGTACCCGATCTCCCTTCGATACCCTGACATTCGAATCACGCACCTGGTACGATCTAACCGATTTCGAGCATGCGATTTCGACTCAGACTACCTGAATTTGCTCGAGGTTGGGTTCACGTTTTTTCGGCCTTGAGAACTTTGACGGTCATTCGATGTCTCGATCACCCCCCGCAAATGACTGGATTCTATTGACCTTGCGCGTGGGCGACTTGGACTTGAACTGCCTGGACTTTCCCTCTATCAGTCCAACCGTAAACTACCCTGCCGATGGGTCATCGTTACTGGACGCAACTGGCCAATTCGTTTCGTGGTTGCAGTCGTACGACGGGACCTGTACTCCCACTAGGTGCATAGGCTCAGTAGCAATGATCCTAAACGGAACGAGAGGTACGAGCGGTAGGGGTAGCGATAGCCCCCTGATGAGAGCTTTCGCAGGCTCGAAACCACTAGTCCCACTTCGCTCTACTAGCCTCCCTCTGACCCAGCTAACAGACCTTTATCTTAGGAGATGGGTGTCTGCAGCAGGCGCTAAGGAGGTGGTCAGATTCAATGGCACTCTGCTGGACACTTCTGACATGAACTTTGCTTTGCTTGTCAGTTCGCTAACGCCCTTTCAATTTTCAAAGCTAAGCTGATTTGATTGTACTGTACAGCCACTCGACAAATTGCCCACAGCACACCCAGATCTACGGTGAGCCCTTCACTGTTCTCTAATCCTAAATTTAATTAATCAAGCCCAAGACCTCCAGCCCTTTCCCTTTCCCTAAGGAAAGTAGATATCATCCCCACTGCCTGATCACCGCAAACTTCGCCTCTGCTGTCAAAAAAGGTCCTCTTCCCACCCTCAACGGTCGAGCATCTGATCGGAGCTTTATACCATCATGATGCTATCGACCATACTGCACCGACGTGAAAGGAGAAACACGTCTCACTGCCATACTAGTGTCGAACATCAACTGCACCATGTTTACCTGTTTGCATGTCTAGCACTGCAACTGCGGTGTACCGGGAAGGTCTGGTACAGGAACTCCATACATTATCGACACATGAGGCTTTAGATAAGAGCGGCGGCGTTGTTTCTGCTCTCCTTCTGTCTTTCACGAAATTGATAATCTGTGGTGAGCAATGTTCGTGTCTGCATCACCTCTCGGAATTGACCTATTTTGATTGCGCGAGCATAGTAAGTATGCATGCAGTAACTTATAACATGTTTTCCCAGTGTGCAGGGTCGAGTCATGTTGTATTGCTGTGATGACAGTTTCTGTCTCCTATTTACAAATTTCTTGCAGCTTTCGGTAGGAGCCAAGGACACCTCGCGTACATAATGTTCAAGATAACTGAGAAGCTGATCGCAGAAATCAGTATGGGATGTAAGTTTTCTGGTCTGGACTTAGCAATCCCATCTCCCTCGCCATTATCTGTAACGCAAGGAACTGGGAGTAGAACCGTGCAGCAAAGAGATCGCCCTCTGCAAACCAGAGTCCATCGTCTGCAGCAGAACGTCAGCATCACCCAAGTCGTGCAATCAAATTGACAGAATACTGACGTCCAGTCGGTCTCCAAACACCTGCGAGTTCACAATCACTATCCCATCCTTCAAGGTCATGGACGGCATCCGCAACCTGGGGCCCAAAAAGGCTCTCAGCGACTTGTTTAATCGTAGTTTTCGAGTACCTGTGAATGATGCGTCACTGCGTCAGAAGTGGGCAATCAGACAGATAGATATTTGGAAGAAATACCCAGTTGCGAAGATGACAAGGTCGGCCACCACTTGCGAACCATCGTCGAATACCAACCCGGAAGGGGAGAAGTGGGAAATTTCATGCCCGGACTTGACGGTGATCTGGTCGCTAGTAAGCAACATGCGTGGCGTAACTCAGCAAAAGTAATAATACCTCGCCAGATGTGATGAGCTTTACACAACCCCGGTCGATGTAAAAGCCACCTGGAATGGCAGTGAGAAAAATAGAACGATACAAAATGAACAAACTCACCTCGTCGAACGAAGAGACGGTGCAAAAAGTTGTCCTCAGGGCCGGGAAGGAGATATCCATTCCGGGACAAGTTCTCCCTGAGGTCCCTAAGGAAAAAGGGTGAGACGAAGAAATTATCCTCTAATCCTGCCAACGAACTGGTCGATATAGGCATGTATTTTCATGGTGTCATACTGGGAATTTTGTAGAGCTGACAAAGGGAGAGCGACATATAGGCGGTCGGCGATCTCTGTTGGAGGAATATCCTGCCCAACATATCCTACAAGTGAAATTAATGGAGATCTCTGCAGCAAGTACACTGAGATTACCGGTAAGCAGACAGTCGATCGTCTGACGACTTGCAACGGCAGTCGGGGAACGCTGGACAATCACTGTCTGAGACCCATGATTTGCCATGTCCTGAGCAATATCGTGCGCAGAGCATCCTGCGCCAACGACGACGACTTTCTGCGCGCCGAAGTAAGAGGAGGACCTGTATTCGCTTGAATGGACAACAGAACCGAGAAAGGAGCTCTGCACGCAGAGAGTCAGCGTCAACAAAGAATTAAGTCCTGCTTGCGTACTTTTCCTGGAATCGAAGGCATAAATGGGAGTGCACCTCCCATTGTACCAATACCTGTTGCACCAATCAGGTGCCGGGCTGTCACAGTAATAGAGGCTTGCCCTGAAATAGATATAGATAATGTCCAGGTACTTGACGAAGTGTCATATGAAGTAGCAGAAATGCGTGCCAAGGTCAACACGTGAAGACCAAGAATCCTTTGGTAATTTTCAAGATAGTCAGCAATGTCTCTGCAGGGAATATATTTGCATCCCTCGGGAAATGTGACGAAGGGAAGATGATCTGCTAGTACATCAGCATAGGACTAGGTTGGTAGTTCTTCGGCTGCACGTACTGTATGCCCTGGGAGTATTCGTCTCCAGTGACTCGTATCGAGAACGCCAACCATCGCCAATTGCGCCAGATCTCTCCAAGACAAGTGTAGAGATTCCGAGATTCTCCAAACGGGCGGCCACGGATAAGCCGCACTGACCTGCACCCACGATGATCGCCGTGTACCTCATTATAGTCTTCCACTCAGCAGGACGACAGAGAGGCGTATGTGCACCAAAGCGATCGACCACACCGGACAACTGATCCATCATGGTCACAAAGGACCAAACCTTCCATGAGGAATCCTCGCTTTGACTAAGAGTAAAGACGCCAGTGCACTGCGCTATCACTGTATGGAATTGAATAATTCCTTGAATGAACGTTTTTGTGGGACCAATCCACCGATGACGAACACCTGGCAAGAGTCGGAAACGACTTGGCCGCGCAAGAGCAACGGGAACCGAGAAAAAGTGCTGGATTTTTGGAAGTGCACACACGGTGCGAAAATCGGGACTGAATGCTAAGAGATCCCGCCAATAGCTACCGTGTGTAAATGAGCGCTCGAGATTAAAACTGGGGCTGGATAGGTCAGAAATCAATGCAGTAAGCCACGCGGAGGAGATAGCCTCTGATATTCAACAATAAGTGGACTTGGACTAATTTTGAGAGGCAGGCTTACCTGCGGATGACGGAACAGAGAAAGTTTCCACACCAGACATATCTCCTAAATGATCAACTTGAAGGGGTGGTTATAGGGACCATCGTCTCTACCGGAAGGTTCATTTATAGGTTGATTCTGCGAAGCTCATCACCTTTCGTTGTATTGCAGTTGAATATATAGATTTGCGGAGGTATGGTCTCATGCACCATAACCCCCTTAACACGTGCTTGACCTCACCACAGATAGTAGACATTTTGGGCAAGGCGTCTGTAATTTTTTTCGTAAGTTCAACGATCGATTAGGGAGTTTAAAGGGGAGAATATGATGTGGGGAGATGTTTGCAGCTGGATGTAGACTGAGATTCTTGTATAGAATGAAAAAAAAAAACACCGACTCGGAGATATCTAGATCCTGGAACTTTCAACTGTCACTGCACTATAGCAATCCCAAAAATGTCAGCGGACAATTGTGATACGAATTGTGGCACATACTGTCGCGATCGAGCACTAGCTCATCCCACGACCTAGTAGTAACGCCACAATTTGCATACCAGGTTGGAGAACATGAGGGGCCTATTCCGTGGTGGTATAACCACCATTCTGAATCTGACACCGACTTTGATGGCTGACTATGTTCACTGGCTGGCTGCGCCGCAGTGAGAATGTCTGATGAGTCCTCTTGATTTTGCCTTCTAGTTGTCATTTTCGGTGTCGGCTGTACTAAATGGTGTACGATAGTTGTATTTCGGTGAGAAGATCGTTAAGGACATTGTAGGAGGCGCTGGATTGCAGCATGAGGATGAGGAAATGATTGTCTGCTACGGCGCCGCCCACACTCTATTCATTCGCATGATATCTTGAGCCGAGGTAGTTGCGAGATAGTTACATTTAGATCTGACGCGCGACGAGTTGCATCCCGCCACTCATGCACGTGTCGTAGTCACGATTCACCGTGTGCAACATAAATTCTTGATGACAGGAAGTCCGTAGCCTAGATGCTGTTTGATCGACGTGTACAGCGCTAGCCGCTTAGTAAGCACTTGTATGAGCTCGCAGCTTCAATGCCGCTTTCAAACACATTCCATCTGCAGGTCACCTGTAGGCCGTCAATTTCCTCATGGTATGGTATGTTCGTATTGTCACATCGTATACTAGCTGAAGGCCCAAAGTCAGCACTGTTCAACTTTCAATCTCTACTTTTGGTCATCTTGTTGATGATCTGCACTTGCACCTACGTCCGTGCAGTTGCCCCACGTCTAGTTGATAGAAACAAGGCAGGGTATGTTACTCATGTTGACTGCAAGATATCCATAAATGCTAAGAAAGTAAACAGATTCCTCGGACTTTTCTTCATGTCTGCGCGGATAGGTGCGGTTCTCATACACGCGACTTCTTGCTGGCTTCCTAAAGAACAGTACCCATTCCAACATATTTACAGGAGAACGCCTCTCGCCATATGTCGCATTAGCATGCGTGGCCATGGCGGTGACAATGATCGCACAGTAATCATACAGGATTATATTATGTGTACAGTGACGAAGTTGACCTATTCGCCGTCCGCTCCACTACCGACGTGCCATCACGGAACCGTGTTCGGAACAATACGTTTGCATTTGTGAACAGGCCCTCCTTCAGTGAAACGACTATAAATTGAGAGCCCTTGAAACGAGTTCGGAAAAGGTGGCCAATGTGTTGGGTGTGGGAGAGGTCGAGAGCGGCATCAATTTCATCAAGAATGTACATGGGCGCTGGCTTGAATTGGAGAAGGGCCATAATGAGAGAAAGTGCAATCAAGGAGCTGTGCAACACTCGTCAGTCACAATATTTCACTGATAACTGTATCGTACCGTTGGCCACCACTCAGTTCGGTTAGACTTTGTTTCCAAACAGTCCCCAGTTGTACTTTCACCTCAAGTCCTTGCACTAAATCTTGACCTTCTGGAGGCTGAAGTTTGGCGAAGTTGCCAGGTAGCAGTTCGGCAAAGATACCACCAAAATCGCTACACAAATGGGTGAGTGACGATGGAATGACTGTGAAGGAATCACCGTACCCGTTCACTTTCTCCCATGTCTTCTGGAGGGCATCACGCTTATATCGGTCCAACTCCTCTATGGTGTCTTCGATCTTTTCTTTGTCCTTCAGAACTGTGGACAACATCTTCTTGAGGTCTGATTCCTTCTTTTCGACGCTAGCCACAAGTCATTCAAATTAAACCAGTATCTTGCTGAAAAGTCGAAGACTTACGTGTCAATCATGTTCATGACCTTCGGGTTGACCTTCTTTTTCATCCCTTTCTGCTTCTCTTCAAGCTCGTCTGCTTTAGCTCGCAACGAAGGCATATCTTGGTCAAACTCATATTGTGAGCCAGGTTTGCCAAAAGACCTTCAAAAACGTCAAAGTATGTTCAAAAAAGAGCAGGGATTACCCACTGATATTCATCCCGAATCCACTCATGCTGCTTCTCCAAGTCGGTCACAAATTTGGCCTGCGTGACTTTATCCTTTTCGAGTGCGACAACATCGTGTTCCAGCTTTTTCAGCTCGATTTCTGCATCGGATACCCCCTTCTTCTGATCGCGAATAGCATTCTCCAGGTCTTTGAGCTCGTTATCAAATTGAGTCAGCGTTGCCCGTTCCTCCTGAAGCTTGTGCTCTGCTCTTGCGTGGTCCGCCTATTTCACATGAGAAGTATTTGTGAGGACGCTGGAATTGGAGAAAACCGTACCTCGTGCTTGGCAAGCTTAGTATTGAGCGCTGCCATGTCCTTGTGAAGCTTGGCGATTTGGGCGTGAGCATCTTTGATGCTGTCCTGGGCCTCCTTGATATCCTTTTCCATTTGTTCTAGGAGTCATTAGCGAGCAGAATAGGAAATTCAAAAGGGTGCTTACCAAGCTCGAGCACAACAGTTTGATGTTCCTTGTGCTGCGTCTTTACCACAACAGCTTGTTTCTGAAGAGCTGCCTTCTGCTTGCTAATCTCGGCCTGTATAACTGTCAGCGTGCTTGAAGGAAAGATGAAAAGAGTACTCGCTTTCAATTCATTGATCTTGCCTTCCTTGTTGTTTTTGAACTCGTCCATATCCTTTTCAAGCTTACTGCACTCCTCCTTGGCGGCCTTTTGTTTATCCTTGGCTGCCTGGACAGCCAATTTTAAAGCATTAATCGTCTTCTTCAGCTCTTCTACCTCAGCACCGAGCTAGATGACATTGGTCATTAAATATTGAACTGGACGAATGATGACGACTGCACTCACCCTTACAGCATTACTCCCTTCTGCTTGCTGCTCCAAAAGACTGACTTCGTGCAACTTGATGTCGAGTTCGCGAGTGAATTTTCTCCATGTTTCTTTCTTCTCTCGATTGGCCGCTTCTGCTCTTTCAAGCTCACCCAAACGAGACTGTGCCTCTCCCAGCTTGCGCTCTGCCTCGAGGAGTTCCTGCACCCTTAGTAGTGTGCCGCTTCCGCTTGGAGCTGCTCCTCCACTAAGCGTACCAGAAGGGTCGTACACGTCGCCGTTCAAAGTGACAGACTTAACCTTTGCACCGAATGTGACAGCATTGGCAGTTTCAGCGTCCTCGCAAACAATGGTGTCTCCGAAGACGAACGCCATGGCACGAGCCACTTCCTCTGGGTAGCCAATGAGCGATAGTGCCAGGTTGGCTTTACCCGGTGCAAGCTGATCCACCTGCGCTAATCTCTGGTAAAAAATGAGTCCTTCCTTCATTAGCTGAGCTAAAAAGAGACACACCTGAGCATTTAAGACGAATGAATTTATTTTATTCAGTGGAATGATGGTGACGCGCTTCTTCAGTTTTCCGTTCTGGAGGAGGTCCTTGCCAACTTTCTCATCTTCAACGACGACGTTGTAGAGCTTGCCGCCGGCAACGATTTCCAGCGCCTGAGATTTGTTCTGGTGCTGGGGAGGGATCGAGGTCAGGTTAGCGACCAACCCCTTCACCTTGGTGCGGTCGAAATTCGGGTGTGGCATCGAGTAATCAAAGTTCAATGACGATAGGCGTTGTTTAACTGCATCGCGCGCCTGTACGACTGTTATATATAGGCATAAAATATAATACAAAACATAGAACATACCTCGGTAAACTGCCGGACCTGTCCTTTCGCTGTCGCTAGAGAGACTTGGCTTTCTTGTTCTCGTTCGGCGCTCCAACCACAGTCAGCAACTTTGCGTTTGAGTTTCTCGGCTTCCATCCGCATGTTTTCCATATTACGCTTCCCTTGACCCGCTTCTTTCTCTACGTCCTTCCACTTTGCTTCCAATGCCTTTAGCTCCTTCTCACTCATGTTGAGTTTTACGCGATTCTGCTCTTCCTCAGCCGACCCTTGAGCCATGCGGGCTTTTGCGTCTGCAAGCTGACCCATGTAGCCACCCCCAGAGTTTCCGGTGTTGCTTGATGAGAGACCAGTGAGCAGCGTCTGCAGCAGCTCCTCTGATTTCGAGAGCGATCCTTGCGTATCGTTGTGCTTCGCTTTAACGGACATATAAGACGATTCGAGTTCTTGGGCCTGGGTACGCTTTTCCTCGAGAGATTGAAGGAGCTCTTGTAGCTCTGCCTCGGCACTGGCAACGCTTTTATTTTCGTCGGTGATATTGCCGTTCGCGAGGTCGACTTGGGTTCGGATTTTCACCAGTTCTTTTTCCAAGAGCGTTACCTCTTCCTCCATCTTCTTGAACCTACCACCTTTCTTCCGCTCTGCTTCCCGTTTCGCGTTGACCTCCTGCATTTCCTTCTCGGCTGCCTTCATCTCCTTGATAAGCTTCTTTTTCCGCTTCTCTGTCGTTTCCATCTCTGCTTTTTTGTTCTCGATATCATCTTGCGCCTTCTCTACCCTCTTATTGGCGCCTGTCCATTCCCAAGCGCGCAGTTTCCTGCCAATCTTCTCCAGTTCCGTCCGGGTCTTCTGGAACGTAATAAATTGACGTTTCTCTTCCCGGAGTTTATCTAGCTTAGGTGTGATCTCCTCCTCAAGGAGAGACGTTATCTCCTGCACGCGCTTCTCCTTCTTCGACATCGTCTTCTTGGCCTTGTCCTTTCGATCTTCGAACATGCGAGTACCTGCTGCTTCTTCCACCATGCCAAGGATTTCTTGTGGACGCATGTTAAGGACCTGGTCAAAGGCATTCAATCCAAATTTGACGAAATTGACGAAAGTGAACTTACCTTGGTGATGCGGCCTTGCATGATGAGGAAATTGGGATTATTGATATTCAGCTGTACACTCTGGAACAAAGTCTGAATATTGTTCTGCTGCGATTTGTGACCGTTTAGAAGATACTTTGATATGTTTGGAAGCGCTATCTGTGTAAGACATGAGCTTCGAACACAGATGCGTTGCAGGTTGTGAACGCACTTGACGCGTGACTGTGATTTGCTTCAAGTTCTCGAATCCGACTGGACTCTTCTCTCTATCTGAGTTGTCAAAGACGATTGTTACGCTGGCCTTGGTAACGCCAGCCTGGCCTCTCTTGTAAATAAGATCTTGTTGGTTTTGAGCGCGCATCTGCAGCGCGCATGAGTGTGATGGTTGATGTGGAACAGAGACAGTCCGTACTCACCTGAGACATATTGGTGATACCAAGCACAAAGCATATTGCATCAAGTATGTTGGACTTGCCGGATCCATTGAGGCCAGTGATTGCATTGAATGATGGATCCCAACCCGTAATCTGAGTTCGAACTGGATATGATTTGAAACCTTTGAAAGAAATGTAATCTAATAACTCGTTTATTTACTTAAAGTCATACCTTCGACCACAAGTTCTTCTATCCGCATGATTGAATATTGAAGTTTGGTGTTGAATATAGTAGGACGCGACGCGACGCGTGTTTGTGGCGGAGATTCATTCAATTTGCACGTGACCAATCTTTTATATAGAAATTTCGAGCCAAAAAATGTTCCGTAAGTCATTATGTACTAATCGATGACAATGGACATCCTTCGTGTATGGGGAAGCGTCTGTGCTGTGTGACAATTAAGCGCGAGGAATTTGGCGTCTATCAGTTTAGTCGTTCTCGGATGCATGTCAGCTGGAATATGACTTGGATCGTTGTCTACTTTCGTCTAACCAAATCCATAATAATATTCAATACTCGGGGTTTGTAGCACAGATTAGCGCAAATATTCCCTTTTCGCTTCATTTTTTGCGTCAAACTTAAACACACATGAAGCTCGGGGCGAAAGGAGATCTTCTTTCAAACGACCATTAGATTGTTGGCGATTTGGCCAGAACTACCACCTATATAACCCACTATTTTTCCTATCATGTCGCTGTCAGATTTCTCCGACTTGACAGATTTGTCTTCTGACGATGATGACTTCCCGCCGTCCAAAACAAGTCGGACAACGACTCGGACGTCAAAGAAAGGGAAAGGTACTAAAGAATACAAGATTTCGGGCGTCTTGCGTGCGCCACGGACCACATCATATACAGCAAAGTCACTCTACGGTAAGGCGAGCTGCTTACTAGTGGTGTTTATCTGCATCACCCTTCTTGCAGACCAAATCATCGAAAATGCGATTGACCTTGACCCAGAATACCAACGTGGTGAGTCTCTCGCCTTGAAAAACACGGTTTTTTTGTCACTTTGCTCGCAACATCTTCTGATGTCTCATTTCCTTCGTAGACGTTGTATGGCCAGAGCCAAAGCAATCCGGTCTTATCGACTCTATGCTGCGAAACTACTACATGCCTCCAATAATATTTGGCAAGTCTATTTGCCACCCTAGTCTGCTCATGCATTGATAGGCAGGGAATCACTAGCGGTGTCAACGGCCGATGATGGCAGTGAACTGCGAACTTGCATAGATGGGAAGCAAAGGCTGACTTCAATACAAAGGTATATACAGTAAATATACGGGAATAATTCGCTGATATACCACAATTTTGATTCAGGTTTATGGATGGACAGGTTTGTAATTCTGCCATCTGCAGTCTCATCGCCTTGCTGAATCTGGATTTACTAGATACCACGTTAGTCGATACATGCTATTGCTGCATGCACTCACTCCATTTGGCATGCCATCACAGATAAAGATTCGTACGTCCCTCTAATCTCCATATGATGTATATTATTAATTACTGTCCAGGTTCACAAACGAAAGACTTTGGTACAAAGGAAGCGCCAGTAATTCTAGGCGAAAGCTCCTTCCAAAACAACTTATCCATCAATTTTCGAACAAGCAGATTGTATGCGTTGAGTACAGCGACATCAATCCAGATCAGGAACGCGAGATCTTCCAGGTAAGTGCTGGGGCCTCGTTGCATGCTACTAGCTCACATGATTATTAAGAGAGTGCAACTAGGGGTTGCGCTTACTCCTGCAGGTCAGCACCGCTTTTTCATTGTTGTACAGTAGCTTGATGCACACCTTGTAGAACGCATGCAAGCAATTGTTGGCCCTTGGCCTACCATCATTCGGGAAATTCAAAGCCAAGTACTTGGCGAAGATGGATTTCATGGTTACCTTGACTGGGGTCATGCACGAGGACGTGACTTTCAGTGTGTGGCATCTATAGGCTACCTCATTGAGAATCACCCCAAGCCTGCTGTTCCCTCCGCCCCGACACTTGAAAAGTGGCTCTTGAAGAGCGACCCTGTCTCTCCGAAGCTTCGCGAGGACTTGCTAGATACGTTTCGTGTCTTTCTCACCCTTGCTCGGGACCAGAAATACAGTCGCTCGCTCAACAAGCCTACTCGTGTTTCTCCCATAGAGTTTGTGATGATCGGTGTCCTAATTTACCTCTTCCGTGATCGGCTGTCGCTTACACAACTCTCCTCTGCCATTGAAAAGATGCGAAAGGATGTACGTGACGACCACCAAGATATTCGTGCAAATGGCAGGATCACCAAACATATGTTGTCATTCATGACCAAAAGGCTCAAAATATCTGAGCTAAAAACCGATGGGGAAGGTGACAAACCGGCCGCTGGAAAACATACAAAAGCCAAAAAACGGAAGAGGGTTGCAGAATATGATGACGACAGTGAAGAGGAAGAGAAGCCTCGCAAAGTAACTGCATCGAAGGTTTCAAGTGAGCCATTTTATTGAACTTGGTTGATAAATTTTTGATTCACTACTTGCATATATAGCTTCAAAGTCAAAGTCTTCAGTATCTGCTTCCCAACAGAAGACTGAATCCAAGTCAAAACCTGCGCCAACGAAAGTGTCGGTTACTCCTGCAGTGTCTCAGTCAAAGCAGAAAAAAGCTTCCCCAGAAGCGCCTGTTGAAAAAATGTCACAAGCTCTGATGCAGGCAACAGCGCCACCTCCAACACCCGCTCCTCCCGCGACATTTACCAGGCCATCACCACCTTTTGGACAAGTACCCTCCCTGCAATCGAACACAGCAATTTTGGCCCATCCTGCCAGATCTTCCCCTGTGCCCATCAGGACAGATGCTCGAGTTTCTCCCGTGGTAAAGTCGGAGCCACGTATTGCTTCGCTATACCCTCCTCCTGCGATTACATCCAATATACCGGCGGCTGATAGACTTGGTCCTATTCGAGCCGCAAAAGAGGCTATTCGAACAAATACTGGTTCTCAGGTCCAGTCTCCTGTTACTCCTCACACAGAGCATAACGCTGTGAGCTCCGTGTCGAATCTTGACGTGAATGGCTCAGCAGCTATGCGTGATCCTCGCCGTGCTGCACCATCTCCGGCGGCTGTCGCTGTTCTACCACAACAAGGCCTGCACCCGCTATATAGTCTGGGGCAACAATTCCAAATCAACCCTTCGGAGGTTGAAGCCCTTTTACGGGCGCATGGACTTGTGGTGCCTCATAATCAACAAATGCCAACGAATTCCCCTGTTGCATTGTCTGAAAATGTTATGACAGCCATGGGCCTGAATTTTTTGAGCAGGGTTAATGCCTCAGCCCCTGGTTCTTCGAATTTCTCGCAGGGCGTGTCAGTCAGTGGTTCTGGACAGGGCATGCAACCTGTTCTGTCTTTCCAGCATTCTCAGGGAGGACCTCAAGCTCCGCTGTACTTGCCTGGCCCATCACAGAATGGGTTATCAAACGGGACTCACCCTGCCCCTGCTTCGCATCATTCTCTCCCACCTCGGCCGTCATCGACTGCACCAGCCCCGGTCAACACAGTCGTATCAGCTGCGCCGATACCGATACCGCTGCCGCCGCATTCTGCACCCTCGACTGGATCGTTCAAAGATGAGCGACGACATAGTGAATATGAACGACGGGACTACTCGAGAAGCGGTGGGCCTTATGAGAAAGACTATCGACGTAATGATTCCCGGCGGGATTCGAGTGGGTGGGACAGTCATAGAGGAAGAGATGGTGGCTGGGGTCAAAGGGGGAGAGGTGGCGGAAGCCATAGGTGAGCAAATGGCTCAGTAGCAATGACCGTGGTTCAAGGTAGGACATGAGTCTGAGTGTGTTCATCCATCCCTGTACTTATGTGATATTCCAGGCGTCAATCAGGGCGCTAGGTGGTCATTTCTGGGTCTTTCTGCGGCCCCACCAGCACCATGTGTTGTGATTGTGTTTCATATTGTTTCATATTTTGCCTTTTTTATCATCATGACAGCATATACTTCTCAGACTTCACTGCAACGCGACTGGCCTCATTCATTCATTATACCTATCGCAGCCCGTTTATAATAAACACCATAAGTACGGCCACGTTTTCCCCTAGCTTGGAGATAAAGCCAATTTGCACCATATTGTATGAACAGTATTGTGGGGTTCCAGTTGAAACAATATGCTTCAGTACAAAAACGAGTGTCGATAAATGGGCAATAAATGGTCTAGACGAAACCTTAACTAGGTGATGACGAACATTAACCAGGGCAAGACCAGTATAACTCCTATCATTAAGACATGAGGCCGAGCTTCGCGGGCGCTATTTGCACCCTGTGCCCCGTCTGCTACCCAGTCACGCCATGCAGCCTGCAGCTCAAGGATGAACGCTTGTGCCTCTGGGCTGTCAGAGCCTTGCACGCCATAAGAGTATGGATTCACTACAGGTGTAAGCCATCCTTCCGGCGTAAAGTGGAGCAGGCCAGATACGGTTGTGCCCGTTCCGGCAAGTGCGGTGGATGTTGTACTTGGCGCTGGCATTGTCGATGTAGTAGCTATGGAAACAATGGTGCCAGCAGAAGCTAAGAGCGCTTTGCGGACCTGTTCAGCGAGTGGGATGTATGTGTGGATATTGCCAAGGAGAGACAACCGATAGACCGTGCTGGCCAATAACGCAGTTGATGAGGCATCATAGAACGTGGTATTATTATCGGCGTAATTGTAGAACAATCCGTTGGAGTTCTGGTCTGGTGATAAGACATTCTGACAGACCGGTTTCACAATTGGACGCACAATGTGGGAATACATCGCTCCGTGAATCTCATGCACCCAATGTGCAAGGTCGTTCTGTTGACTCTTAAATGAACTCGTGTACGAGGAACGTTGAATAGTCCCCAGGACTCGTATCATGCCTGCCGCCGCCCATGCATTACCTGTAATTGAGCCGTGCAAGGAATAAACGCTACGCTCAAGAGAAGTCGCGCACCTGTCGACCAGTGCCCATCGTCAACTCCCTGACCAAGTTGTATATGCTTCCATAAATTACCGGCTGCCGTGTCTCGAAGATATTTTCGGTACAAGCGGATCTGTGTGTATGCCTCACCCAGGATGGTCTGATTTTGCGTCAGGACACCATAATACGCCAAAAACGGAGGAACCATGTACACAGAATCACTCCTATGTGAAGACGTTAGTTATTCACGGGAGCGTCTTATACATGACTTTTGTTTTCACCAAAGTTGCAATTGGTCCACTCTGTGAGAAAAAGCACCATCTTTGGTCTTGGATACGTTTTGGAATAGGTAGTGGAGTTGATCCTGTGCCGCCCCTGCATAGTCTAGTCCGTCTAGTGCCCCCTGTCCTGTCCAGTTAGCAAGTAACACGGAAACTCCAATACTTGCTGGATCTCCTGCACTCGTATCAGCAATCAGGGGCTGTGGGCCAGTGATATTGGACAAGCTTCGGGCGACGACGATGTTGTGCGCGATCGTGAACACTTCGCCAAGCGCACTTGTTATATTGGATGGGAATACTGTGGGGAGGCGGAACGGCGTCGAAAGACACGACGGAGTATGTCTGCGCATTGAGCTCCAGGAGAGCCTCGGCGCGCACTCCATACTCCCAACTACAGAAATAAATGAGGAGTCGGAGTGAGATTTATAATCCTTGAAGCCATTGAGTTGAACAGAGAGGTGGGGGTACTAATGCGGGATGTTGAGTGACAGCACACGCTCACCTATGCACTGCACCCTGGGCCAGTCGCTCACTGATCACGGATATCTGCGCACTTGCAAGGTTCTGTGCCCTTACTTGACCGTACAACCCCAGTAAAAGGCCTGCCACAAAAAATAACACCATGTGGAGTTGAGTGAGAGCGAATGTTCACTCGAGGGATCCGTGGTGCAACATTGAACCACTGGACTGGCTTTAAATAATATCAAGTTCAGGTCCAGTCCTAGTACTGTCAGCGTGCGGAGTTCGGACAAATGCCTGGTCTGATTCCATGGTAGGCAACGTTGATAAAAACACGTTAATTGTCAGTGTCAGCGATCAAGCAAGGAAAAGAACGATACAGTAAGTAATTGACACGAACCGCTGTGCATACTTTCTCCAAGTTATTAATGTTCATGCATGCATTGATCTAACGCCAAGAATACAATGACACCCGAAATTGAAGTAGATTGGCGGTTAAAGATAGTCTGACTACGTCATTTGACGATCCCAAAAAGCGCGGAGTTTGAAACTTTGCAGGTGCCGGGTGTCGGCTACTCAACTCATCGATCTTGTATTACCCATGTCCATCTGCTCTCGATAGGACTAGTGGAAATGTTTAGAATTAGCTACCAACTTCGTCCCTCTAAGTGCCCATGCCAGGTTTTTCTGAGATGGTGTGCAGCAGGAGGTCCATGACCGTCATCCGCATGCCACGGAATATTTTTAGTCAGGGTCCTCCTTGCTGAGGGTCCAATATATGTAGATATGGAGCAAATGGTATCATCCTATTTCAAATTTAGCAAGCACGGTACTCTACAGGCTAGTCCCGAGCCTATGCTAAAGAGGCTGTCAGAACAGTGCACTTCCTACTACGATATTAGTACTAGTACGAGCTCGATGTTCGTTCGCATGGGACAGATTATCGATCATGAAAGTTAAATACGTGAGAGGCTTGTAAGATGCACAGTACAGTATGAAATACGGCTCACACAATCGCGAAGTTCAAAACAACTTTGATGATGAGATGCAGCAAGTGCAGTTTCTACTAGAACTAAATAGCATCGCGGCCTACCCGGTTACTCCATGATCCGCTTCAATCCCCAAACTGTCGAGCGCCTGACGCCCTCTCCGAACCCAGTAAGACAACGTCTGCTCATCATTGAACCACATTCCCACACTCTCGACACTAAGACTCGGTGCAGCAGGAGGAACATCCTCAACCAGAATATCAGCCATGGAAGACTCATCATTTCCGGTCGGAATAACTTCCTTTTCGGTAACGAGAACGGATTGTCCGGCGGACAATGCTGCTTGTTCTGCGCGTTTTCGCTGTTTTGCCGCAAGTTTTTGTGCTGCCCGAAGCTCTTTCTTCGTGAGGGGTTGCACTTCCTGAGTGTCTGTGGGCGATTGCAGGTCCTCGACCATATTTGCGTCTGAGGCTGGTGGAATGACAATAGATTCTCCTTTAGCCTCAGGCACTGGAACAATATCCCAAAGACCGCCGGCCCGAATCCACCCAGCAACACTGCTCTGCTTCCTAATCTCGTCCAGGACACCAATGACCGCAAGAATGGTGGGGTCATAGGGCTCAGCACATGATTGAGATGATATGTGTGCTCTTTCTGCAGACGGAACGGGAATAAAAGACTTCTCGACATGAATGGAGGTAGAACTGATTGCAGTCGGATCTAAGTCTGAGGAGGGCAATACCATCTCTGCCGACTGGCTTTGGTCCGGCACAAATTCATTTGTCTTTCTTTTCCGCTTCTTATGTTTGGGCACTCGAGTCGCTTTCTCGTGCTGAAACTGTTGAAGGTCTTTTGCCCTGAATGAGGAGGTATACTCGGGTATACAGACGTGATTGTATGGTTGGAGACGGGCCTTGTGAGGGGAGTCGTCGAGGAGGAGGGTGGTCAAGGCAGAGTGTGCAATCGAGGAAGCCAACCCAGCTTGTTCAGCGGCATAACCTGCTTCTAATGGTACCGCGATTTCTGCTGTGCTGGCACCTAATGGAAGCAATGCCCAGGGCTTCATAAGATCCTTGGTCGTCAGGGCTTTTCGGTCTGCCAATAATATCAGCAAAGCGTAACATCGCAAATCGTTCAACGATTGATGGTTAAACACTCACGATAGTCCTCCTTACTAAGTCCCAGGCTCCCACGGTCCCAGACTGCGACGAGCTTGCTTTTGGCATTACCAAAAACTTTGTCGACCATGTCCGCCACACTGTGGGGTTGTGCGGAAGACCAGACCATGGTGTCAAGCCATTCTCGAGTCTCGGGTGCAAACAGATATGCACGAAATGCAGGTATATAAGGACGAGGCTGCACTGCGCGAAGACGCGGTGCTGAGCTAGTGTGAACGCCACCATACGCATCTCGTGCGCGTGAGTGTTGCGATCGGATGAGTAGAGTGCCATTCAAATCTAGCACGAGAAGCTTTCGAGAGACACGAGGCTCGTCAACGATATGTGATGGCTCAAGCGAGAGCGTCATATATGCTGAATCTGGCTCCGCAGGTGGTGTGGGAGGTGCTGGTGCTGGTGATTTCATATATGCAGCAAGGGGATTCGATTCAGGTGTTCTTCGACGAAACGAAGGCGAGGCCATATATGGCGTTGGCGAATCAGCGTGTTGAGCACGCGAATGGTAATTTCTCTGCGGGCTGTCGCTTCGTCGGTTCCGATGTCTTCTGTAAGAACCTTCAGGGACGATTGTAGTCATTGCCATGTTCATGACTGCGAGTGTAGTTGGTGGAGGACTGATCATGGTAGTAGTTTTGGGCGTGATACTGGTCACCATCGTGCCAGTAGTTATATCTCTGACTTGGTTGAGCATCTGCATAGTATCCATTCGAGCGATAGTCGTATCCGTATGGCTGCTCGTACGAGCTGCTATAGCTGGAGCCACCGTATCTGTCACGGTAGTAGGGATCATCTTGGTTTTCGTTATGATAATGCCGTCTTCCGCGCCACCCACGATTGGGCGACATCAGATTGACTGAGAAAGGGGCCCGAAAGGACACCCACGAACGCAGAGGGATCAGCTTGACGATGTCAGCAGAGAACGCCGGTTTATATGATAATCTGATCTTTGACTTGAATCACTTGATGCTCCGAGTAAATCAAAAAATTGTAGCGCTGTGATCCCTATATAGAACATATTTGGGTTAGGGTTGACACATCCCAAAAACTTTAGTGTACAGCCTGGTAGAATTCGACAACGTACTACTAGGATACAGGTCATCTTTTATAGGTAGTACGAATGTGAAAGGGAGGATATAATGAAAAGAAGCAAAGGGTAAATCAAGAATATGACGACAAGAGGAGTTTCGCGCTGCACCCTTGCGTTCGGCACCAGTACAAAGTTGCTACAAAGGTCGAAGGACGGAAAAAGAGCGGAGTGTCCAAGCTTAAGCGCATGGGGAGGGTATATAATATTATATATCTGCGTGGCTTTTCGCATCGATGAGATATACAGAACGCCTTCGATCGGAAGCCGCGGCATCGGTTCGGCGCGAAAAGGATATGAGATCTTTACATCTGGTGGCCACTTTAGGTGGTACTTATAGATACCTGAGAGTAGATGAACTGCCATTTGCACAGAAACTCTATGCGAGATGGCAAGAGCGTCAACTTGAAAAGATCCTTAGGAATGAAGTCACATTACGTTGACGCTCTTGCAGACAAGAAAACTTAGGATTGCGCGGATCACTACGCACGCAGACCAATTATTTCAACTCTCTGCGTCAAGATAAAACCATTCATTCGATTTGTCAAGAACTTATATGTGTATCATATGATATATAGATCTCGTACATGATTTCACGTCGTCATACTAATAATTACCACGTCGTCGGACTGTAACACGCCCCGTAAGACCATGGCTGAAAGATTCAACGAGCGAGTCACTCACCCGAAAGTAGAACCTTCTGGTAAAGTCCAGAGCGCCGTATATTGTCCATCAGCCGTCTTCGAAAATACAGTATTGCCCCACCACGTTTGGATGGTGTGCAGTCCGATTGTACCGTTGTCTGGATATTGGAGGCAGAAGAAAATCAAGATGATGGATACGGCCAAACCAGAGTCCATGGCAGCCGAAAGGACATCTGGTCAAAGGTCTGTTTCGGCGAAAGGTAATACAAGACCAGGGAGACCTCTTACAATTATACTTCGTCCACCAAGAGAAATGTTTACGCCGGATAACGTATTGGAAAATGAATCCAACGATTGCCCATGGGACGTAGTTCAGCGCACTGGCTGGGGGAATGGCCCCCATACCGCTGAAGATAACAGGAAAGCTGTACTCGTGTAGCCTTGTGAGAAGTATTCCTTGGCAGAGAAGAGAATACACACTTGACATAGCGGATGAAGCTATTTGGCCACTTCAACGAGATCAACCATGCGACGACCGGGCAAAACGCGCCGATGAGGAAGAAATATACAAGGTCTTCATGCAGAAGCCTGAGATTGATACATACTCGACGTGCTCAAGAAGTACGCACCGTGATAGACCTGGCCTGACGAGAACTGTCTTTGTGGGCCGATGACCCCCCAGATAAAGCTGGCGGTTCCGAAGACTTCTGTGTTGGGGCAGATGAAGCCATCCTTCTGAGTAGGGTTGCAAATGTCTGGAATGTTGGTAAACATCCATGCTTGCACACCGAGCTGTACAGTGCCTGCGATGGCAGTAGCTACGACTTGACCTGTACGGCATTCAGTGAGGCACGCGACGGGAAGAAGATGAAAATCATTAACCCCAGAACATGGTCCGTGGAGGAATCTTCATGTAGTGACCAAGCTTGAAGTCGGAAGAAAAGGTGAGCGCTACAGACATTCCGGTTAGAGATATAGGTAAATCGACGAAGCGGGAAGGTTAACCTTGGTACATGGTGACGTATCCCCAGGTCTTGAACTGAGTAGACAAAGCTTCACTTCACTTCACGATATCTCAAATATACCATTCTTACCATCATCATTGCAATAGGTCTGATGTAATTTATTAGTTGGGTTGTCAAAGTCATGGTGACCTAGCGACTTACTTGCCAGGAAGAGCGTATCCAACGACTAGTTCAGTGATAACACTGTGGATGTCAACTTCGTCAGAAGAGGGCATTTACCATTGATAATGTTCACGCACTTCAGTCCAACTTGCTGGTTGGTGATGGCCTGAATCATCCCGATAGGAATGACGTAAAAGAATGCTGTGGAAGCTCATCAGAATTTTAATCCTTACAATATTTGACACAAGTGAATCACCGATAATCAAGGACAGGACAAAGGCCCAAACTGGGAACTCGGTGTGCCACAGCTCAATGGAAATAACACCAATCACAAACATGAGTACTGCATACTGATCAGTGGGGCGATTGGAAATTTTGGGAGATGACACACCAAAAATGATCATGTACCACCATTCTGGCACCTGTTTGTACTTGGACATGAGCCTGGCGTGAATGTCAGGCTGCTCGTGCATCGAACGTCTGCTCTGGACCCATATTTGTTTCCTGAAGAACAGGAATGCATGCATGAGCGTTGCTGTGATAGAGGCGAACGACAGGGCATAGGATATAGCGAAAGTCGTTCTGGACCGGGGTACATAAGATGCGATGTAAGAAATAGATAGTAAAGGTGGCGCACGAGAGGAACAGAGGGCTATATTCCTCATATGCTGTCAAGTTAAGAGAGGCATCCGAGTTGATGATACGGGTGATATTGTATGAGGCGGCAGTATTGTCGTACGATGTCCTCGAGGAAATTCTATAGTGGTAGACGGTGTTATCAAGATGCACTGGGGACACAATGAAACAACTCATACGGCATGTACTTGCTGTCCCAGGCGTTGGTGTAGTACAGCGAAGGGACAACGAGCCCTGGATACCTTTTAGTAAAGAAAATGACACTGAAGCAAGAATGCTTACAAAAGAAGAATACGAAGCCAACTGCGATATTTGCCTCGGCCCACCCTATGCAAAGAAATAATCAGGTCCAACCCGACAGCAAGTCCTTTTCACGTACATGGTGTGGCTTTGTGGAAAGTAGTGGATCATAACTTGAGCCTTTCCTCGACAAAGAACGTCCGGTGACTCACCAAGCGGACTACCTGGGGTCAATAGTTGAAACACAATTCAAGACGACGTGTTGAAAACTTACCAATGTAAGCAATCTGAGACCAGTCAAATGTGACCATGCTCATTCCCAATCCGCTCACATACCCAAACATCTGATTTACCACGATGTTTTCTGGCGCAATCCAGCATACCCATGAGAAGTAAGATAGGCCCTGGAAGAGGTACCCAGGTACAAGGTACCATAGGAGACCACCCAACCATGCATAAAAGAAGAAGCGTTCACGCGAAATTCCTCCACGGGTACCTATACCTGCATATGTCTGCGAATGGAGGGTGTTGAAAAGAGCACACGTCACGAGGTTGGCAGGCCATACTGTGCCAAGGTGTGAGTTACGGATTGAAGGTGGGAAGAAAAGTAAATTCGTACTCATCGAGGGAGGCTGTACGAGGAATCGCCGCAAGATACCGCCGATTGAAAAACCAATGAGCTGAGTGGACATAACCACCATCCATTGGTCTATCCCGCAAGTATGTTGTCCGAAAAGCGATCATGGACGACAGATACCCCATTCGTGAAGATACACGTGAGAGAATGATCAGCAAGAAAGTCCGAAATTCGTCCAGGTAGAATGGGATGTGATATTTCGGTAAGGTACCAAGAAAATGAAACCACAATGATTAGGGAAGTCGCACATTCTGTGAGTAGGGTTCACAACACTTGCTCAGGGACTCACAAATGAAACTGTAAGTTTGTCCATAATAGACTCGTTGGACCGCAATGATATCAGTCTGAAAGCGACACCGTGTGAGTACTTCCTGACAAGTTCACAGCTGAGGGGCGTACAGCATAGGCGGCTGAACATTCTTAGTTAATCGTAAAGCGGGAGTGACACGACCGAAGTACGCACAATATCCACCAACGGAAGCCATGATAGTAACCAAGACATGTTCTTTAATTGAAAATGGTCCAGGGTTCAACTTAATACCAAAGACGCGGACATTTGGCACGACCTATTCAGCCCGGATGCGGTTCATCGTCAACGATTGCAAAAACATCTCGAACTTAACTGGCTTACCTTTGCCCAGAGGCGACCCACAGGGAAGGAAAGCAATTGTGCCGCGATACTCGAGATGGTCACGGATGGGTAGCGAAAGAAAAAGAATTGATTCAAGCCAGCAATCAAAACGGCCCATGCGAGACCTACCGGACATGCCTGTCAGCATCGAGCACCTCTGTCAACAGAGAAGCGTACCAATGACCCAAGCGCGGAACGAGTTGCAAGGGATAGACGGATCATCCGTGTTGGCTACAGCACTGCGGACCTCTGGATATGGTGAATCATCCTCTACAGAGATCGTGAGGTTGTGCACTATGACTAAAATTTACAAGCGAGGTTTACCAAGGACTCCGACGACAGCTTCGTCACGATCGATGTTCGGATCGTCGAAGTCAGCGATGGTCTGGAGTACCTCTGTTATCAAATAAAATAAGCATTGGAAGAAGAGCTGCTGTACCAACCCACCTTGAACCTTAACATCATCCTTCTCGGAATTGGTTGAGCTGTACCGCTCCTCTTGAAAGTCGATGGCCATGACCACAGCTGATATCAAAACAGCAACAGTAGAGAGGGAGATCAGAAATGAAACTGCCGATCTTTAAGACTCACGCCTGAACCCTCTTAAATCGCTTCAGAAGAAGATTCGCATGGATCTTGGATGATAAGCGGCTTGGATATGGCAGGTGGCTCTTGCGCGTGCTCGGAAGATTCTGATCATCTTCATTTCCAATCTCAGGCCGACGTGCCAGATGACAGCACCATCTGGAAAGGGGCTTGTACACCTGTTTGCTTGGCTAGACATGGTATATTCAACCCGAAACAGTAGGCATATCTCTTATCGCGGTTAAACGGCACGCTGAGGAGAACTTTTATATATAGCGTGCCCGTTAATTGATGAGTAAATCCTGTGTTGAAGATATCTAGAGTTGAGAGTTTACGGCAATGAAAATCGATTTCCGAGCCCACGATGGCCACACCAAGGACGCACCATGTTGATCAGATAACAGATGAGAACCTTGGTATATTCTTCGCAAGCATCAAATTCGAAGGGCTTGAATCCCTCTTCGGCCAGTCAAACGGTCTTGCAGAAAACATCTATAAAGCAGACTGTTCTTCTCTATTTAGTACCGAAAGAAGAAACGGAAGCACGCAAGGAGATCTTGGTCACTTTCGGAGAAGCTGAAGGTGCTTAATAGCCAGCTGGATCCACAAGAACAAGTTACGTGCAAGAACTGTAATATAGATCCAGCTTGCCTGGATGGTGAACGTTTGAACACTTGGGCTGTAGCATTCAAGTTGAATACCCAAAGACGCATCGCGCGGCCGCGTCCGCCAAGCACGACAACGAGTTACCCGTTGTCATTTTAAATGACCCAGGCCATTTACGATATCGATATATTCTAGACCTTCGAAGCTTCGGCGATACCGCGTTGCTGACATAATGCTCGTACTTTGGTCACGACCAGAGAAAATTAGCCACACTGTGTAACAACCACACGTTGACCACACGACCTAGTTTTTCCGACTTGGTAAAAGCTTGGAGAAATAGTACCACGTGGTTGCATTTGGTCATATCTTGGCAGTGTGGCGGGTGTGCATATGGCCTACCCCTGCACGGCCGCCCAAGGTTTGCATTACCCACCGATGCTAGCATCTTTATCGAACAGAGACTACCCTCCAACATCGATACCTTCGCCGGATAATTGATACAACCTGAAAAGTACTGATATGATACAGATCTGCCACGATAGTCAGTAGTAATACACCTCCTGAACTCTGCGAGCGCATAGAGCAAACATACAACACGCCTATCTACTTGGCCCAGCATTCCGGAGTGCAGCGGGTGCAGTCGGCGGGATGCGTGGAGGGGTTGGATTTGAGATGGACTTCTTAGCGTCGTGGAGGGCTGCAAGTCTGTCAGGAATGGCTGTTGGGCGTGGCGGCGGCGGCAGAAAAGTGGGAGCGACAAGCATAGGAGGATTGACAAAGTGAATTGGGTTGTGGGAGCCCACAGTGGGAGACAGTACTGGCAGGGTCTCAGTTCGTTTTCGCTGTGTGCTCGGTGGCACTGCTACATCTTCCTCCTCCAGCTTTCGCTTCGTCCCAGAGGTGTTTTGCACCTGAGGGCCAATCCCTTTGACGAAGTCAAGCAATGTCTTGGCGACACGAGCATTCATTCGAATATCTACGTGTTCTTCACGCACCGCCTCCCGCATGCGTGCGAGCTTATCTGCGAGCGCGCGCAGTTGCAGCTTATCTTTCTCCACGGAGATTAAGAGACATATGGTGATAAACTCCACGGGTGAGATGCGCCAGCCAGATTGTAGGAATGTAGAGCAGAGTTCAGGGTCGCTGACTAGCTGCGAGAAAACACGGAACGTGTCGTGGATGCATGAGAGGTAGATTTCATCCTTTGTGAGGTCTTCGTCGTCGTCACTTTCTTTCTTTTTGCTTTTGGTTCGTCGGACGGGGTTGTGCAACCATTTCTCTATCTGCAGGACGGTACCCACGGACTGGAGGGAAGGGTACTTTGAGATGCAGTAAAGCGCCTGAGCGATACACCGGAAATCCCCACCACGCGAACGGTCCCAATCTAGGGCGTCGCCACCTAGAGGCTTGTCTTGTCCGAAATACTCTGCCTCTAGCTGTCGCACGAAGCTACTCATAGGGGTGTTAATCACCTGCAATTTCTCTAAGAAGAGAATGAGCCAAATGCAAATGTAAGTCAAGTAGGCACAGACCCGCAGGGGTGAGGGCCATTCCAAGTTGTACTCTCTGTAGTTGGATGAGCGGCGTAGTTATAGAATGTGTTGAGGACCTACCTGGAAGATTTCGCGCTCTTCGAAATCAGGAAGGTCCTGATATTCTATGCATACAATCTGCTTATTTGCAAACAGTCGTCGATATTTATCAGGCAGAATGTAGCCCGCGGACCGTCCACTTTGGTTGGAAGCGTTCGGCTTGTACCAGTACTTGTCACCAGTTTGTCTGTACCGCGTAATATTAATTGAAACTAGGGAATCGGTATTGAATGGTTTTGTGACACTTACGAGTCTTTGTCTACCGAGTGTTTATTGCGATTAGAAGTAAAAACAAAAGAAGAATCACTAACGATGAATCTAAAGAACTCTGTAAGCTGGATTGCACATGACAGATAGATATGACCAACCAGTCCATCCATGAACCTGCGGCAGGAGAGAGAAAATGACAGTCAGTGGCTCGGCAAGATGAATGGTCGAGAAAATGCACCGTTGTATTGATGTGAGCCGTTGCTTCCCGTCGACACACGTCTTGGTTTCTGAGCCATCTGAGTGCTGATGCGAAACTGGAGGATGAATGGACGGGGAAGATGAGCCATGCACTACGTAGCCTGTGGTATCATGCTCACCAAAGATCACAGGTGGAATATAAAAGTTGCGAAGTATAGAGTCAATAAGGCCTACTTGCTTGGGCTCTGGCCAGACAACATCTGAGAGAACACGGCTCTAGTCATTTAGACTTGGATTGTAAGAAAGACTTTACGGACCTCTTTGATACTCGGGTTCCAGGTTAATGTCATTGCCAATGATCTGCTCTGTGATGGAGTTGATGGAAATCCATACACAGCACATAACAGACAAGAGACCTACCGTAGAGCGCCTGTGTCGTGTAGGTTGTGGTGCGGGGAAGCTTGAGGACGTTCCTAAGTATGTAGCCGTCATCTTTCTCCGAGCGCTTGCCACCGGGCTCGAGTTCATCATAATATTCGTCGCCTGCTTCGGATTCGCTTGCATTCATGATGTGCCTGCTCTCGAAAGTTAGCGTCAAGTTAAAGGTGAAGCCTAGTAGTTCGGCTTGTTGTGAATGTTAACTCGCGTCGAGTCGCAGGAAATTAAAACCAAACTTCGACATGCTGTGCAAACAAAGAGTTCGATCACTTTAAATTCTGTTTACGGTGATTTACGCAATTTATCAATAGCGACGCCGACGATGTTCCATGGCAGTTCAACATTCTCAAAGCCTACCACGAAGGGCTCACTGCTATCCTCACGTTCAGCTACCACTAAACGCGATTCCCTAATGGCAGAGCTTGAACGGGGTGAGTTCACTAGCCGGGAGACACGCCTTCGGGATGCTCATGTCTAGAGAAACCTGACCCCAAGCAAATTGCAGATCCACAGCATTCAACTGCAAAGCGCCAGCAGCGCTCTAATGCGTTCACCTCCCACATGGCAAACGCCTCTCTCGAACGCCAGCTACTCGCCGCACAGGCCAGTAAAACCGAGCTCGAGGCCAAACTCCGTGAAAAAGATACCACGATCGAGAGGCTGGAAAGAGATAGAAGGTGGTTTGCGGAGAGAGAAGAGAAGGAGCGCGAAGAAAAATTGCAGGAGCAGTCGGAGAGAGAGGAGGAACAGGTGCGTCACGCCAGCATGCATGCCGTCAGAGCTCACAATTATTCTGTAGCGCAAGGCAGATTTAGAACTTCGACAACTACGCAGTTCCCTCGCTGCCGTTCGAGAGAACCTTGCGGAACTAGAGGACAAACATTCGGGCCTTTCTCGCAGCCACTCACAATCAGTTGCTTCTCACAAGTCGCAGTCTTCAGTTCTTGCTCGCCAAAACGCAGACTTGGAGAAAGAGGTTGCGGACCTTAAAGCTATTGCGGAGGAACGAGACGATGAAATCCAGAATTTACAACAACAGTTGGACGATGCTCATGCTACCACCAACTCTTCTGCGAGAAGTTCCAATGAAAACGAGAATTGGAGTGTCGTGCGAGACGAACTACAGCGGCAAGCAGGATACCTCCGTTCTCTTGAGTTGAATAACGCAAAACTCACAACTGAACTTGCACGGTACAAAGATCGGCACGCCAGTTTAGAAGTCCTTCGAGAAGAGAAACGTACTTTAGAAAGCAAGGTGGCTATCATGGAAGGGCTTCGAGAGAAAGTTGCCAAACTAGAGGCTCAGGTCGAAGCTGCTCGGCAAGAACGGAAAGATTGGCAAGTACCGACCCAATCTTCTCACTTGAAGCTAATCTATGTATTCTAGGGCAAGCAAAACCAGCGAATCCAATACATCATCACAAACTTCCATCTCCTTGGTGCAAAATCTGTCAGCATTACGTCTGGAGAATGCACGAATGATGGAGGAACATGGTGTCAACATGGCACTCCTTCGCCGCCGTGAGGCCGAGCTGTCTAACGTTAATAACATAGCGTCCGAAGCTCGGGAGGCTGTGGATGCCCTACAAGCAGAGGTGCAAACACTGAAAGAAAAGGTGGTAAGACGGGAACAACGAGCTCAGCTGGCGGAACGAGAAGCCAGGTTCCTCCAAGCCCTCGTCGTACGTGTTTACGCCCCCAAACAATGTCTTAATGATTTATCACCTATTTCAGGCCAGCTTCACTTCTGAGGAGTCAGCTGCACGCGAGTCACCAGCTGTGGACAGCCTTTCTCAGCAGCAAATACAGCATCTTGAACAGTCTATAGCTGACTACAAATCCGAAAATTCTCGCTTACAGCGTACACTGGATGCTGCCGAGGCTGACAATGCCGTAGGAGGGCCGAAACGCACACGCAAGGATCTCGTTCAGGAAATCGACGCACAGAAAGCCGCAGCGGACGAAGCAACGAAAGGTATATTCAACAGAAGCATATGTATCTCACTTCCTCAATGCCATACATACAGGTCTGCAAGAAGCGCAAAAAGATCTGACACGGCAGAAAGACAATATCGAGATACTCGAACAAACACTGTTTGAGCTCCGTGGCGAAATCGGCGGGGGGAACCACGTCCCACCAGGCATGCGTGTGCTGTGTCTGCGCGACAATCCAGCGCAGCAGTGGACTGATTTACGACAGTCAGTGATGGACCGTCTGAAGAGCGAAAACGAAGCGCTCATCAAGCGCTTGCATGAGCTTGAGAGCAGCGGAGCTGTGGTAGACGAGGGCAGGGTTCCGCGCAATGATTTGGTTCCCAGGGAAAGTTGGGACGTGCTCGATAAGGAAAAGAAGGACCTCGAGGAAGTGGTAAAGCAGAAAGAGAAGAGACTCTTGCGCTTACAGCAGGTGCGTGTATCCTCCCCACGCTTCTTTTCACCAATTGATGGCGGACTGTCACCATGGTTCGGCAGGTGTTTACCGCGAAGAGCGCTGAGTTCCGAGAAGCCATAGCGTCCATACTAGGATTGAAGCTCGCGTTTTACCCCAATGGGCAAGTCCGCGTGACGTCGATCTACGATCTTTCTGCGTCATTTGTGTTCCAACCTTTGACGAAGCCCGGCGAGAACGGCGAAGGAGCGAGAATGCAACTCATTGCGCAAGGCGAAGGCGGTCCGCAAGATCTCCCGCAACTGATGCGATTCTGGGTGAATGAGGAGCAGTGTATACCCGGGTTTCTGGCGAGTGTGACTTTGGAGTGCTATGACAAGTCGAAGAGAGAGGCCGGTACCGAGTCGTAGTACTTGACCATCATATGTTTTTGATAGCAATTAATTATGCCCTGCTAGGTTGTGATGAACGATAAACAATGCTCACTGGCTGACTACGCTACTGGGAATCTCACTTTGTATCATAGTGATGTCTAACATTCTGTTCTGATTCCCTGCCTCTTATACCACAAAAACAATACAATAAAAGTAATCATGCACTGTATCATCAGCAGCAGACAACTACCACCATCCAGTTTCCGTCATCCGTATTTCTCTACCGACAGAAACGAAAAATCACATCTGCGATATCGTTTCCGCTCTATCCCTTCATCTATTGCCCCGTTCATTGAGACACGTCAGGCTGATTTCTCCACTTGCAGAGTTTTCTGACCTCTTGCAAACACCCATCATTGAGGGTCATACGGCGATGTACTGGGTGATTTGTGAATCATCGACGAGAAGCCATTTTGGCATTTGCTGCTTTCATCCCCTTATTCTCGTCTGTTTGCTTGACCGATATGCGCCTCGGATCATTAAAGACCATATGCATGCATCATCTGAGCAACTGAATCTGGGGCGTATTATCAATCATAAGTGCATAGCGGCAATATCCTCACCACATTAATCGACCAAGGTCGAGTCTTTGAGACGTTTTATGAATTGTCCGTCGGATGATGTTCAGATCCAGCCCGAGGCCTGAGGATGCAGGAGATAGTGACTGTTCGAGAACAAATTCGTTACTTGTTTCTGCATCAGGATGTTCCGGACACGCCTGCGCCGTGCTTATAATCAAGGTACACGGATGGGAACCTGGCTGCGCAACCCTATCTTAAGATCTGCGAGTGCCGTATAATTAGTCCATGGGGTGTACGCAAACTCTTGCACCTAAGAAGTCAGCTCTGCTTCGTTCCAAGCCAAGGGTACTGCCAGATAGTTTTTTGATGGCTCCTCTTTCCCTGGTGATGCAGATCGACCATACCATCACTCTCCTGGGCATTGCATGACTGGCTGATGAACCAGCAATTCTTCTCTTACCTTCTGCTGCAATGATTTGAAGTGATTTGTTGAAGGATGAATACAATGTATCTGGACTGTGATGACACTCTACATGCGAAGGTGGAGATGATACTAAGATAGCGTGAAGCAGTCTGCATGTCATCCAACATATGTTTTTTTACCCATATCATATCCACCTTCACGAGAATCTCTACCAAATCTGTCATTAACAGCATTACACAGCGAAAAATACATACGATACTCACCTTCTTCACACCAGCACCAGCGCCCGTGGCTTCAGCTCAAAAGATATAAGCAATCCATCTACACTTTTTGTGCGTCATTCGTGCTTCGACATTTGACGAAGTTGATGAGAACAGAGAAGGAGCGAGGATGCAATTCCGAATTGCGCAAGACCGGAGTGTCAGGTAGTATAAGTACAGTTTTTGGCGAGGTCGGTCAAATACCGTCGGTACCGAATCATAGTACTCGGCTGCCGTGATCAGCCTCAGGAAGACAGCCGTTCCTTCTATATGATGTAGGTCGCGAGGAGGATCCAATCGGGAATGGTATAGTCTTGACGAACTTAGTTTTTTTTTTTTTAATTCTTAATTTTGACATCGCCTGACCGGGCTGACCCTGGCTTGCAAGCTCCGTTTTCAATAGACAGGCCTTCTCTCCAACACCTGCTAGTGTGGTCTCTAAACTCTGAAAAGTTTCTGATATGCATGATCTATACTGAGTATGTGTTCAGAAATTGTCACGGTATCCTATAGCTTTTTTATGCTGATGCATGACAGACCCTGATTTTACAATATACACCGAGGCATGTTGCTGAATGAAGACCCCACAGCGAATCGTATGAGAATTCCTGCTGCCCCCGCTTTCATCCCCTCATCAAAACCTCGCGTCCGGATATGCCATCAGTGTGGTTTCGTTTTACCACAAGATTTTCCATGGATAGTTTGTGATGACTGCCAGTTACTACCGCGGCTAAGGACCCAAAGTATTCCTTCCCCTGCACATACTCTCCCTGCAAACAAAGATGCAACGACGTTCGGACAAGCTGTGAGTTTTTGCGTTTTTGTAACATATGCCCAGGAAGTGCTTGCAGGGTTATTGTACTAGGTTGAATCTTTGGCGTCATGCTGACTACGTTACCAGGGACAGTTCTCTGCGACATGTGTTTTGTGCCAAATGACCGTAGAAGGATCAAGAATCACATCGAGCTCTGACACACTCTGCCCTACATGTCGAATGAGGCAAGAGGGCATGGAACTGAAGCCTACAAGGCGCATCAATCGGCACGTACCGCCATTACTCCCATCCACATCACCCGTCATCGCACCACCCCGCGATCCTCCCCGCCCGTGCTTCTTTAACTCCCGTGGAGAAATTGTTACTCATTCCCATTTCCCTGTGAGTATCCATAAATTCTTCCCTTACATGAATCTTACTCATGATTGACGCCAGGTTGTCGTGGCGCGCATGCGTGTGTGTATGCGCTTCGGCTGTGGAGCACAATTAGCACCCAACCAGCTTTTCAACTTTTGCGATATGTGTCTGCGATTGGGGTTTGGCCGTGGAGCGCCTGCACCGCCCCCTGCCCCCAAGCGCCTTCCGAAGCGCATGAGAAGAGATGAACTTCCCTCTGGGGTGCTTATCTCGAAGGTCAAGGTAAAGTGGTTTTTTATATTCTTCTGTTTAGAATGCAGTTGAACCATGACGATTTGAAGCGTGATATAGATGCTGCACAGAGGACTGAGGCCCTTGGACAGCCCCCGCAAGAAACGTGTGCAGAACTGGGTCCACACAACAATGATGATTTGGAACTCGAGTTGATGTATCCTGAGGTTAGTGAGATGTGGGTTTTTTTGCTGACATCACTGGGTCTGAGCTGCCAAGTAGGATGAAGAGCTTGCAGCACAAGATTCCGTCAACTCGATAGCGACAACTGTTGGTAACGATGTTCCACCTTCAGGTGTTGTCTTGGAACGTGGGCCTTTGCGGCTTTCACCCCTGGTCATCAACACTACTGCTCGTTCTCTAAGCCCTCAGCTAGTCCAGGTCAGTGATGTGCGATCACTGTCTAATATGTGTTAGGCTAAGGATTTTTGTAGCGCATCTGTGAAACGCTCGGGTGCGGAGGGACCGTGCCTCCGTCAGCTACGTGGCAGAGGTGCTATAACTGCAGCGTCCAGCGCTGGAAAGAGCGCCAGCAGGCTGCTATCACTACAAGTGCAACTATCTTACCGGTGGACAGTACACATGTGGGTCCCTCGAATTCCGATGAGGCCATGCATGGCGTTGAGCCTCGGTCACACGATACATTAGACGCAGTCGTGGTAGATCGAGTTGCGATCAATAGAGAGCTGGGAGTAGTATTGGCTTCACACTCACAGGGAGCAGTCCTTGATGCTGTAGACAAACTACCGTTGTCGGAGCTTCCTGATGGACAATCCGTCATTGATGCCACGGCAGTCGCAAGTACTTCCAGTACACTCGTTGCTGAGTGTGGCAGAGACGCTGGCGCCGAACTTGAAATTAACAACATCTTCGGATCGGACAGCGACCTGACGGATCTCTCCTCGGAAGACGAAGATGTCGATTCGGACCCTGAGGCCGAAGACTCATCCACGATCAAGATTCACATTCCTGTGCTTGCTTCTCGACTTCCTAGCGGCGCCAGTGCGCGAGTGTGCGGGATCAAGCGTTGTAACATCGTATTGCCTCAGGAATACCGTTGGAAGATCTGTGATCCCTGCCGGAGATACAAACGGCAGTACCAGCGGATTCGTATGGAGAAAGCCCGCCGTCATATGGCCGACTTTTGTGAGTATAATTGTCACATCTAAGATCGCCCAAGCTAACCATATGTAATTTTAGCCGAGTCTGCTCTCGTTAGTGATCATTCTGTACCGTTTCCGGAGGTATGGCACATTAAAGATTTCTGTTTAACCTCGCATCGCTGACGACAGATGCAGGAACAAAGCGACAAGGTGACGCCAGCGGAAAGCTCGCGCATCTGTGCTGTTCCTCACTGCCGCACAAGGTTACTGCCTGTGACCAAATACCGGTGGAAATGCTGTGGAATTTGCCGCATGCGTGCTCGTGACGACGCAAGAGCAAAACGATCGACCGCTGGAACCATCCTGGACTTAGAAGAACCAGTGGAACAGAGTTCATCGTCGGACATTTCACCCTTTCCTACCTTTCAAAACCGCAGCGTGTTGTTGTCAGAGTTTGGCGTGATGCTGGGGCGATTCTTGGAAGCACAGATCTTGTACTTGCGCGCCAAGCTTCAGACATCAGGCGAAAAAGCATTATTGAGGCTTGATCCCGTGTTTTTTGCGTTCGACGGTGAATACTCGACAGTGACCGGCCAGCGGGGATATGAGGATAATGTCCAAGGCAAATCCGACCCTAAGCACAGTCAGGAGGATGAGATGCAAAAGGAAGTTGCCTCCACTGTCAGGGAGCTCGGCAGCACCCTCCTCACTGAATTCAAGTAAGTGTTTTAAGCTGTGCGAGCTGCGGTTAGACAGCTTATGCCGCTTACCCTGTAGGCCAACGGAAGGTTTCATAATCAAGTCCGGAGGGGTGATCATGCGATACAAATGTGCCTTAGAGCTGATTACCCCACTCCGTCCTTTACCCAAGACAATGGACTCGAAGAACACAAACACTTCTACTCCTTCAGAAAGTGACACTTCCTCATCACATGTCCCTTACATGAAGTCGCTGTCTGGGGAGTTGGAGGTAGCGGTTGTTCCCGACAACTCGCACAGTATTTTACTGGGTCGACGAACTATTATCCGATTCCAGATGCTAGGATAGCTAGGATAGCTTTCGTTTGGAGTCCTTTTATAATACTTTCCTTACAACATTATGTTGTTTATTATTATTGAGATCTAGATATTATCCTATCATCGATTCATCGACGTACTTATCATTGTCGACTTGTTCCAGCATGCATCGTAAATAAATCGAGACTTGCCTTTGAAGAATCCGAGGTCGAGGAACCCTTCCACAAGAATCTGGTGGGTGGTGTCCCGGTGGACACCAGGAGACCTGAGATTTTTCATTGATTTCTATGAAAGTTTTACGAGCAGATCCGGTTAACATCTCTGCCCATGATATTGTGTGTTGGCCCAATCATTTCATGGACGCCGATGGTGAAGCGGTTATCATGCTTGCCTTCCAAGCAAGCGGCAGGGGTTCGACTCCCCTTCGGCGTAATTTTTCATGCCCATTTGCATAAAACATTCTAATTTCTGGTCTTACACCGTGAGTTTATCACCTATGGTATGCTAAAATTTGTCTTGCTATTTTATTAGACTCGAAGGAATGATAACTTGAACTTGTGGCCGCCTCTTCAAATCCATCCTCGACTGCTTCTCAATTTCGCTTGCGTCAACCAAAGAAAATCATTAGCAGGTCTGTAGACTCTATACATGGGTAGTATGCGGTCAACTGTTTATATAAGGCCATCCGATCGCCTGAAATCACGGCGCATTAAAGCGTTCCAGATTAATATTGTTCCAGCACAATGCCTGAGCCAAAGTACTATGGGTGTCGACACGAACTGAATTTTGCTTCCGCGGGATCAAACGGTTTGAGTGAACAACAATCGGACGAATGGGCCGGGCGAGCGAGGATGGGCAACGTGAGGTCTTGACGGACAGTACTGCAGGATTCCGTCAGAATGCGGACAGGACTGGATAATATAGGATACGAGCTCAATGCATTTCTGGATGGGTGTGCACTGAGAGCTCTGTTTATACTGGAAGTTACGAACGACTCCTCGTGATGATACAATGACCCCGAAATGCCGATTGAGTTTTTCTAGGAGAGGATTTCGTCAAGGAAGCATCATGACATGGGGTCAAATTTAGATTCAAAGGCACGATGAAGGTGCAAGTTGAGTACGATCACGTGATTAGTCTAAGATCATGAACGCGTGCGCCGTGCTCCACTCTTAACTCTGAGCATGGCAAGCGGTCGTCGCTCTCCGTCTCCAGAACCACCTGGCCCTCAACCGATAAGAAGACTCCACGAGTCCCTCATCAACCGAATTGCAGCAGGCGAAGTACGCGCTGGGTTGACACCACGGTACAGGCGCGAATAAGTACTGATCAAGTTCACTTCTAGATCATACACAGACCCGCTTCTGCGTTAAAAGAGCTGCTGGAAAACTGCCTTGACGCCGGGTCTACTTCTATTCAAGTCACCGTCAAGGATGGCGGTATGAAGCTGCTTCAGATTCAGGATAACGGCTGTGGCATTCGTGTATGTCTTCCTCACATCCGCATCGAGGCTTGCCATTGAGCTTGTTTAAAGAAAGAAGACCTACCCTTGCTCGCTGAGCGCTTTACTACCTCCAAATTGACCACTTTTTCCGACCTCTCCAAGCTGACTACTTACGGGTTCCGAGGGGAGGCTCTGGCATCTATATCACATGTCGCGCACCTGACAGTGATCACGAAGACCAAGTCAAGCAACTGTGCTTGGAAGTATGTATATATAAAATTGTGCACAGAACGAACGAGCCTGACAAGAATTCTACAGGGCTGCTTACGTTGATGGCGGTCTCGTCCCGTCGAAAGCGGGATACACGCCAGATCCGAAACCTTGCGCTGGAAACAACGGAACCACCATCACGGTATGTCTCTAATAAGTCAAACAGTTCTCTCCCTCCACTCAATTCACCACAGATTGAAGACATGTTTTATAATACACCTACTCGATTGTCTGCTCTCCGAAGCTCCTCCGAAGAATACGCGCGAATACTTGATGTAATGACCAAGTATGCTGTGCACAATTCCAAGGTGTCATTTAGCTGTAAAAAGGTGTGTTGGTTCGAATATCGTCAATGATGCCCTATAACGCATCGTGCAGGCTGGTTCCCTGAGTCCTGAACTCTCGACCCCGTCCTGTTCAGATGCATCTCAGGCCATTCGTCAGCTATACGGTCATTCCATAGCCAAAGAACTTCTGCATGTCACGGCGTCTTCTGCTTCAGATGATAACACGGACATGGATGATCCGGAAGATCCGGAGGCGTGGTCGGCAGACGCATATTTCACGAACGCAAACTACCAGGGCAAAAAGATCGCTCTCCTGTTATTCATAAATCGTCGGTTTCCCCCTTTCCCGCATTGCTATCTTGCAAAATTTGAGGCGTATTTCATGCAGACCGTCTAGTGGAGTCACATCGTATAAAACGGTCTATTGAGAGCATATACAGCGGTATACTGCCAAAAGGTTCTTCTCCTTTCGTGTATCTAAGGTAAGACCGAATTTTACCGGTGGGATATGAAAATAATCATTCACGCAGCATCAACCTCGACCCGAGGTCTGTGGATGTCAACGTGCATCCGACCAAGCGCGAAGTCCACTTTTTGAACGAAGAAGCCATCATCGAGCGAATATCGGATGCCATTCAACAGAGGCTCGCAGGTCAAAGTCAGTCGCGGGTTTTCGAGTACCAGGTACATGGATGCATATATACACGTTCTACGTCAGTGCTCTAAACACATTCATTGACAGACGCTGCTCACTGGAGGGATTGCGCAATCAGCCTCACGGAAGGGCAAGGAAAAAGCGAGTAATGTCGATGAATTGGAAGGAGATGATGAGGGACCTGAGGCTGATCGCCGGGTATTAGGAAGTCAAGGTGAGTGTTTGCGCAAATTTCCAGTAAAATGCCATTTGGATCTTGTTCAGTAGCGAAGAAGGTGCTTTCTCAGCACAAAGTCCGGACCTCGCTACAGGACCGCACACTGGACTCGATGATTCCTGTCGCCGACCCATTGAGAACCAATTCCGACGAGCCCGTGACAGCCATCCGGTTACGGGATATTAAACAATCGACGTGTCATTTTGCATCCATAACAGAACTCAGGCGTCTCGCTACCAAACGCATACACCACGGTGGGCTATGCATATTTTTTGCAACAAAAATGGTCTTACACGCATAAAACGTAGACCTGACTGAAATCATCAAGAAGCATACCTTTGTCGGCGTGATTGACCTGTCCAGGTGTCTTGCATTGATTCAACACAACAAGAACCTTTACATAGTCAATCATGCTGCGCTAGCGTGCGTTACGGAGCTCCTTCGAAGGCTTGTGTTGATATTGTTGCCGCAGGGAGGAAATGTTCTATCAGCTTGCGTTGTTGCAATTCGGAGACTACAACCGACTCAAACTCGATCCTCCTCCATCTCTTCGAACGCTCGTCAAGTTCGCAGTCGATGTGGAAGAAGACACAGCGCGCAGTGGCATGAGCAACGACGAGATCGTCGACGTATGATTGAATTTCAGTACTTTGGGAGATCCACTCAGCGTTCTTTCACAGCGAATAGTCAAGACCTTGATGGATCGCCGAGAGATGCTGCACGAGTATTTTTCCTTGGACATTTCAGAGACCGGCGATGTTAAGACACTTCCACACCTTCTTCGCGAGTACACACCCAATCTCGATAAGCTACCCATGTTCCTGATGCGTCTTGGACCTCAGGTACGTTCCAATGCCATATTCTCATTCCACAGATACCAAGTCGTTCCAGGTCCTCTGGGAATCCGAGCAAGAGTGCTTTGGCTCTTTCATGCGCGAGCTAGCGTACTTCTACTCCCCAGCCCCGCTGTCCGTCGTCTCAGCGGCCGCCTCTGATGAAGATGAACAAGAAAAACAGAAATCTGGAGCATGGCGCATTCAAAATATCCTATTTCATGCGATGCGCAAGTATCTGGCAGCTCCTAAGTTCCTGCTGGACAATGACATCGTGCAGGTGGCGAGCTTACCAGATCTTTATCGGGTCTTCGAACGCTGTTAGACTTCATATCATACTGCAATTTCTATCCGCGAAAGCTGGTGCATGACTCCAGAGCTGCCATAATGTATGTAAACTACAGTGATTCCATAATTCTATGATGCGTCTATAACAACGAAAGCGTCGTGAAGATAAGTCAATACAAGCGGTGACCTTCGGTCGTTGCTTTATTACAAAGGCAGACTTTTGTACACCATATTGCACCAATTTCTCTTCGCTTCCTCTTGAAACTTGATGGCTTCTGACACGGGACATATGGTTGACCAATGAACAAAAGATCTGTTTTGAAATCGAGGACTGTGCGAGGAAACCTTGACAGCCTTTGAGAGTAGTCGCAAAGGAATCTGTTTGCGTTTCACTGTCCAACAGGAGCAGTAAGGATGAGAATAAAACGTGATTCGTGGAACACAGTGGTTCTTGAGCAGTTGGACTTCGACGAATCGACGATGTAGAGCTGTTATTCATACTCGCGGTAGTAGTCGCCAGCCAGTGTTTATAATTTTATCGTTGAATTCGTCGCAAAATAGGTTTTGTGGAGAGAAGAAAGCACGAGCCCATTAGCCAGTATGTGCGGAGAGCTTCGTCGATGTCTGTTTCGCAGCCACGATGAGAATAGGCAACGCACGATTGGCGGCCGTCACCGAGAGGTTCTATTGGTTCCTGTGAAAATAGCATAGGCAAGGTAAGACAACAGTGGGTAACAGGAGGACAGTGAATATTGTTTGCATATGATAGAGGTGAAGTGTGAGTAGGAGTGCCATCATCGGTCACCGCAGAACCAATCGTGGGATTCATGGCGCGAGCATGCGTTAAATGCTACTGTTAAGTCACCATCAAGTAGAACGATGTAGCCGTTTTGTTTCCAGTAGTTTTTATTGTCGTATTGTCAGGATACCTAGATCCATTTTGGATAGCGACCAATTCATGGAAAGTACAGGTGGTCGCCATATAGCACTGGAACGAAAGAACAAAAAAGGAGCAATGAGAATTCAAGTGGTAACAGGATGTGAGCTTGCATCAGTACTAGTGTTGTACGGCGTGCTGTAAGGTGTAGATGGTATCCATGTATGACTTGGAGGTCAAAAGGAGGGAAGGCACGCAAATAAATTGCAAATGAGCAGCACACAATTGACACCGAGCCGGCGGCTATTCGGGTTAGACATATCGTTATATATCGTCCTCGGGACCGTCCTCGATCATCTTTGCATAGTCTTCGTAACTTGCAAATGTCGGCAAGCTTCTCAGCTTCTTCCGTTTTTCACGTTTGGACTCGTTCTCCTGTTTCCGCTTCTTTGTACTACCGAAGCCATTCCATTGTTCTTCGCCGTCGCCGCCGTCTTCATCAGCGATTCCGTCACACTCGATGAGACCTTGAGGAACTTCATCCAAGCCGAGGAGATCTTCATTGTCCGAGGCCTCAACCATGGAGAAATCATCGCCAGAACCACCATCTTCATCTTCTTCATCTTCAACCTCCTCATCCTCCCCATCGGAATCATCAAGATCAGAAGCGACGCTGTCGCTATCCGCCATGAGGTCTTCATCTCCTGCCACATGAGGCATGGTGGCTTGCATAGCCTGTTTACAAGATAAGTTGAGCTACGGATGCAAAGATGGCAAGGGAAACCTAGTACCTTCCATATATCTGCTTCTTCGGCGTCACTGTCTTCGTCGTCATCGCGTTCAGCATCATCTACGTCTTTGTCCTGCGCTTCCTCCAACTCACTCGCTGAAGCATCCACGTCAGAAGCATCATCCGATTCCTCGGCATCACTATCCCCTTCGCCGGTATGGGCGGTTTTCTTCTTGTCCTTTTCACGTTTCCTCAAAAAGTGTTTATGGAAGAAGACCTTAAGTGACTTTAGCACGGTCTCGGTCACCGAACAAGCAGGTCGTTACCTCGTCAACAGGGATATCCTGTAACGGCCTACTCAAAAATTTCTCGTCGTTCGGTAGAGCACCTCCGGATGATTCGCCTTTCAATAGCTTCACCCCAATCCTGTCGTTTGCGCTGGCTGCAGGCTGCATGGCGCTAGAGCCTTTTGTCTTGATTTTTTTGGGATTTTTGTAGACGAAACGATCGAGGAAATGAGAAAGGGTATTTAAAGAGAGATCTGGGTTTGACGTGATGGGTTGGCCAGAAAGGAGTTGTTGTGCGTGTAAAGAGACAGCCGGATGATAGTGGTGTATGAGGGGGATCTAAGAAAGACGTGAGGACTTGTAAAATCAATGTACAGGAGCGATTACCAATTCGAACAAGGGAGAAGCTGAGGGGTGCGCAAACTGCGGGTCTCGTTTTCGTGGATCATATTGTTCTTCAGAAGTAGAACGGGATCCCCTGGAAAAGTCTCGCAAGCCTGAAACTGTACTGAACAACTGGGAACAAAGTCAGGTGGGCCATCAAATAGGTGAGCAAGGGCGCCTTACTTCTCCTAGGAGGTATAATCCTCCTACAATGAACTCGGTCCCGCCAGCACTGCCACTGGCAAGAACTTGTACGAACCGGCGGACAAAGCTCTTCACACGTTCTAAGTTGTCATCGGCCTTGAGAGATTTAAAGAGTAGGTTCAAGTACATGGTCTGTTTTGAGGATGAGGCAAGGCGACCATCGTGTAAAGACTGGTACAATGTTCGATAATATCGATCCACAATGCTCTTCGAGAGTGCAGAAGATGAAGACTCGGGTAAGTGGGAGAGTGAAGATGATATCTGCTGAATAAGGAGTAGGGCTTGCAAAGAGGTGTTGAATGTTGAGGTATGTGTGATGAGGAATAGGGTGTCTATATGTTTGTTCAAGCTTGTCGGAGAGAACATCAGGTGAGCATATACCACGCTTGAGAAACTTACCTGGCATCTGATGGTCCTAACTTTGCATAAGGCAACGCGCGATTCACACCTGTCAATATGGCAGAAATCGATTTTGAAAACGCATCTTCAACCTCCACAAAACCACCGTCACCAACGACCTCTTTCGTTGTCTTCCGCTTTTTTTTCTTCCCTATGATTTCTCCGTCCTGTTCTTCAGTGTTTTCCTTCTTGCCAGACGATCGACTCTCCCCTAATAAATCCTTGAACATCTGGAAATACACATCGATGACTTGTACAGCAACATCTTTGTCCCCCGGAACAAACACAATCTGGTTGAGTGTTATCGTTGCGTAATAGCGCGCATGGTCATTGCTCGTTCTCTTTGTGGCTCCGTCAGGCTTCGTTTTTGGTTTTGGTTTTGGTTTCGGTTTTGGCTTGGAAGTCGAGACGGTCGTCTCGTCGGTGAAGCGGATATGCGTATTGGTATTTGGCGCAGTGGCAGGTGTCGCGATGCTTGGTCGAAGGATGAGGGAGGTCATCTCGCGTACGACAACACCTTTCATAGATGGGTGAGCTTGTAGAAGTTGAAGGAGGTGATAGGAAGCGCGAGAACATATGGATTTTTCAGAATCACCCTAGGTATCATAATTAGTGGATTTCTTCACACATTGGATGGATTGTTTCCACTCACCAGCTTGTTTACCAGTAGCCTAAGTAGGTTATGCTCCTGCTCAGGTTTGTCGCGAAGGAGCATGTAAATTAAGGAGAGTGCTTGGGTGCGCACATATGCCAAGGGGTCCATTGAAAGGACCTGGAAAATGTGAGTTCCTGCACTCGAATACGCTTAGAATCCCACCTCTAGGGTTTGGAGGATAGAGAAAAAATACTTCTTCAGCCAATCCTCGAAGTACCAAATGAGAACATGATCATCCTTGACGCCTTGGTGTGATAGAGGCTGATCACGGAAATACCTGAGCAACCATCAAAATTTTATCCGCGAAAGTAGCATGTCCATACGCACTTTAACTTCCGGTTGGGCGCGCCACCTCCAACCCACCAATCAAGTATACAGCGCAAGGCCTTGAGACTTTCTTCCCGACCTCCTTTTCCTTTTCCTCGTTCGGCCATCCCCTTCAGAGTTTCCAACGCTTTGGTGTTGTGTAATGGGCTACTTTGCACGAGGAGCGTAAGAGCGCTGAGCCTGTCTGACAACGTGCCTGAGTGCAAAATTTTCTGCAAGAATGCATAATCTGAGCTGGAGGATGTAACTGTTGAGGATGACCCAGATTGGTATGTCTCTACCGCCTTCGCATGAAGAGATGCGCCGCGCTCCATCAGGGAGGACAGTTTGGCAGATGTGACGGGTGGGAGAGCGGTAGATGACCCAGATAGCTTGAGTGCATTTTGATACCATAGAGGAGACGCCTCGATTTGAGGTTTTTTCGCGACTTTGGAGACATCAGCGCGAGCTGATGTTGGCATTGTTTTATCTTCAAAAGTTTGTGCAAGTGACTGCCGAACACCTATGACAGTCGCTTATACTGAAAGGGTAATAGCTTAGATAATCATCCAGTATTTGGCACGAACAATCCAATGGATCACTGGCAGGAGCACGGGCAGCAAAATAGTGCTTGTGTAACCATACACAAGCATTATTTTGCTGCCTGTGCGCTTCTTATCGCTCAATGGTTGCAATTTGTTCGAGCATGAGCGGGAGCCTGGAAGCAGTATGTGATACTCTGTGGAAGCGACTACGGAGGAGAGTCAGCTTGAGGCGGAAGGGACCTATGAATGAAGAAAATGAACGGGAACAACCCATGTCTTATAACTTTTCGATGGTGGGCGATGCAGCATGTCATCACAGGACGACATTATCAACGCGGTCGGATGCACACAAACTCGACTTCTACGACTTCAAGCTTCAACATCCAATGATGAGCTCTAATACTTGAATGTATTGAGGACCGAGAACGACGTGAGTGTGTAGCCTCACTCTGGCTCCGGCGAGTCTGTATTTCCTTCTTCGTAACAAACGCCAATCTGAAAAAGCTACGTTACACATAGTGGTCTGTATGATCCGGGAGTCTCAACTCTGTTCGACAATTGCAACAGTCAGAATCCAGGCTTCACATATCAGTCTCGCCCTCCTCAATTCACAATATCAACTGTGCCATACAAAATTCGCTGCCATTCCAGGTTCAGCACTTCAGAATTCACTCGTATGGATGGATTGACCTAGTTACTAGGACTCGTCATCTGATTGTGTCGTCATAGTCATAGTCCCTGCGTCAGTACGATCAGGCCTGGGTGCTATCATGATGCATGAAGTGACGTGTCCTTCATGGCACACAATGTCCGCATCTTGGTCCCCTGGGTCAGATTTTCTGGGTTGCGCATTTGCAAATCCGTGCCAGACACCGCGGAGACTTCTCATTTCGTATCCAAATGTGTCGGAGACCAAGAGCGACATACACGCTTAGGAGAACGACGGGGGGTTCAACGTTCAGGCACGGTCTCTCCCTATCCTTCCAACTTTGCAACCGATATCGACACAGCGACGTATGCCTTGCATACTAGTATATGTCTGTATGTCTTGGCTATCTATGACATGGCCGTCGTTCCTATCTAATAGCTGTTGACTCTATGGAAAGACTGCAGAATCAGCCCCTGTTCTGAATTAACAATATCCACATTCAGCGCTTCTTACCCAGACTCGGAAGGGTACCATGCACTGTCCTATGATTCAATTGTTTATCATCTGACTATGTAGTCATCGTCACTAGATCGCATGCAAGCCTAGTTGCTCATGAAGTGGCCTTTTTTTGACAGCGGTTTTCCGAATTAACATTCCACTTTCGCTCTACCGCCGAGGCGAGACTCGCTATCATTGTATATTCAACACTTCTAACCCAGAAGTATGTCATGCACTGCCCTGTGAGCAAAGTGACTGAATATCATCTGACTATGTAGTCAAGGCCGTTGGATTACGGGCCTGGGTGCGCATATTACCTCTGAGCGCCCACGGTGACCCCATCTTCTGTTCCAGATGACGGTCATATCCGTGCCCAGACACCGTGATGGCTCCATGCTATTTCATTTTCTTCCCAACAAGGAACCATTAGTGTCCGCACTATTCTTCGGATAGGGGTTTCCTAGAGGTTTAAAAGCAAGACTCATTCGCTACTTGACTTTCATCGCTTCAACGACCTTCTACCAAAGTGAGTCACAGTTAGCAGCACGTCCATAGCTTCTCGTATTCATTTTCACACGTTGCAGCAACCATGTCCACATCAGCAGCTGTCTCGCAGTCCGCGAATATGTCCGACCTTCTGCCCACTCACTTCGTCGGGACCACTATGAACGCAGTGCAAAACGATGAGGGGAAATTCCGCGTCTACTTCCAAAACAAAGACTACCAGATCTACGAAATGTCGTTGAACGACCCGAAGAGCACGGCCTATACCCTGCTCAAACTCACGAACAGCCACATTCCCGCTGCTCGTATCAACACGCCCATCGCAGCCGTGGCGAGTAACGACTTAGAAGAGGCATGTGTTTTGAGGCTGACCGCTCCGTGCTTTGTAATCTCATTCTTATTTCACTATTACAGATCCGCGTTTTTTACATCACCGTGGACAGCCATGTGCAGGAGATTTGTCACTCCAAGCGCCATGGTTGGCAGAAAGGCGCGACCATTGGCACCGCTGTTGAGAACAGCACCTGCTTGTATGCGCAAGGCCGGTTCGTTCACAATGAGACCATGCTCAGGGTCGGGTTCCAGTCTGCAACCGCTCCACAGACTATCACAGAAGGTTGCGCTACGAAAGATGAATGGAAGATCCGTGTACTCTAAATTGAATGGCGTACTTCTGCTTCCATGCCCAGAAAGTGATTGTGTATCGGTATCAGATGTATATGTACTATATAAGGCAGTATGACGTGTGGCTTGAATTGACAGTTTCAGACTCATGACTGAGATGGCCCTCTAAGCTTTTGTGTAAGGCTTTATAATTGTTCGACGGGGATTGATGGATCATGTGACAGGAATGAGTGAGTGGGAGTTGTTCACTAAAGATACATACAGTAAGGACATGCTTTTATATCTAAGTGAGTGGCAGTATCGGTGCAAGGGGAACTCCATAGCCAGCAGGTGATACTTCGAACCGGTACAAAGGGAATTCTATAGCCGGATGCACGTCGACTCTCACCCATAAATACCTTAGACTAGTTTGGTACTGGCCCAGTTCTGGGACGTCGCAGGACTCCATCACATGAGTGATACAGGCATATGAACCCGTAGGACCGTGGGACGAATAGTATCGAAAAGCTCGAATGGTGGCAGTCCGTCTGGCATGTCTTTGTCGCACGTTATGCTTGACATGTCGCGAAGCTCAAAAGTTTGCGCTATAAAATACTTCACGTACTTTGAACAAGTAACATAAGCATGATGGTCATGGCACAATCCACTCCTCGAGTCTGGCTTAGTAAGTTGGGATGCAACTCCTCGCCGTGCGGTTCATTTAATGCCTACAGTTACTGGTTCTTCCACTGGGTTCGGCAGGGCGATGGTGGAAGAAGTCCTGCTTAATGGCGAGATTGCTGTCGCGACTCTGCGCAAGCCCTCCGTCCTCGATGATCTCGTTGCCAGATACCCGCGCACACAGCTCTTAGTACTTCCACTGGACGTGACAAATGAGGCGCAGGTCAAATCTGCCTTTATGCAGGCCAAGGACACATTTGGACGAGTCGATGTAGTGTATAACAACGCGGGGCAGATGTTGATTCAGGAGCTGGAGGGGGTACCAATGGACCGTGCCAGGATGCTGATGGATGTCAATTTCTGGGGCGCTGTAACGGTGAGCTTCGAGGCGGTCAGATTCTTTAGAGAGGTGAACCCGAAGGGTGCTGGGGGGATACTTGTCCAAGTATCAAGCATGACAGCGACCAAAGCCCACCCGATGGTCGGGTTCTATAGCTGCACGTGAGTGGGTTGACGCTCTCTGATTAAGCGTCGCTGAGGCATTTGGTGTTTGTAGGAAAGCGGGTAATGTTGATTGTGGCAGACTGAGTGACTTTAACTCACCCCCGCTCCGTAGCCTTGGATTCGTTCACCGAAGTTCTGGCACAGGAGCTCCTTCCCGCTTGGAACATTCGGGTGAGTAACTACAGACAGCAGTTGCCAAGGGCTGAGCACTGAGTGGTCATACAGTTCGTGAATGTCCACCCAGGTACAACGCGTACGCCCCTATTGTTGAGTGAGATACTAGAGCCTCCAGTATTGTATGCATCGGAACCAACAGCTTTGACGACGAAGATACGCGCTGGGTGGGATCCGCTCAACCCAAGTGATGCGATTGGTGTTGAAGCTGTGACGAAGCGCATTTGGTCGGTGACGCGGATGGGCAACGAGGACCTGCGGAAAGGTATACAAGAAGGCATTCCTGGCCTTGTGAACATGCATACGGGGATGGACTCTATGGAGAACGTGCATGCAAAAATCGGGCGACTCCAGGGTGAGCTGATGTGGAATATGAAGGTTCATTATGAGTACTAGGGTTCGGCGATGCCGAATTGGACCTTGCTTGCCGAATCTAAGTGGCTCCGCATTTACCCGAGCCTCATCTTTCCTTCGCACATGCTCTACCACTTTCACTTTCGTCCATATACCTCTACTGTGCTCGTTTAGTAACTGCCTTTGGTGTGCCGGGTGGCGAACGGTGTCCAACGGTGGAGCTATGTGGTTCTCATTCGCACACAAGAATTCCTATCCTCATTATGTAGTTCTCCGTCATATATTCCTCACAATTCAAATATCGATTCAAGTCTCGTATGGTTGAACTTAGTGCGGTCGGCATCACCTCGACTTTGCGCCTTTTACCTCTATCTTAATTTTGCATTGAATTACAACAAGCGGTTGTGTAGGATACTGCTTTGTGAGTCAATTTACATCATGCATATGATCATAATTCTGACTAACCTATTAACTAGATAGTTGATCAATACAATCTCGTCTTTTGATATGTTCATCATGGCGTTTCCGTCCGCCCGCGTTTGTTTCATGATGAGCATACTACCTTTAACAGTATCGTGGTCTCCGCTTAGGCTTCCCATTCGTGCTAGAACACGATTTGTAGGAATATTGTTTCTCGGCTTCTCGAGAAACAGTGTGTACTGGTTGTTCAGTGTCATAGTAGAGTTCGGTACTGTCGTAAATGTTCGTCGAAGGTGTCATCGTGTTGCAGTGCAGTCGTCTCTGTTGTGCTGCCACACCCAGTAATTGACGTATAGATTGTCCAGCGAAGCGTCGATGTCCACTCCGTCTCAATGTATGGTTAACATCTCGTCGAGGATATTCATTGACAAAGGTTGTGCCACGCTGAATGGAATAATGTTCCGATATATTGGCTATCGCATGAGCCAAAATCTCATCATCATCAACTTCTGATACATTACTATCAAGTACTCCGTGCGACTGGACTGGAAATACATTGGATGGAACTGCGCTCATCAGCTTTTATGAAATGTTTTGTTAGATGGATCCAAACTGACCGTTTTCATCAACGATCGAATCTTCGTCAACATGCTGGCCACTTGGAAAAGCATGGTCATGTTCTATTGACGCGATGTTATCATTGAGAGCAACCAGTAGAATCACAAAAGAACAGACGAACCGGCGAAAATGTCTTGAACATCATCTTCTGGTACATAATCCTCCCGCTCACCATCCACAGCGGCTGTATCTTGGAGATGTCGAATTGAAGACATGATGACATCCGGAATGCCGTGTGTAGGATACAGCGCAATGTTGTCTTCCGAGATCGTGATGTTGGAATACAGTGTATTTTCGCGTTTGAGGAAAAGCAACGCATTGCGCAGATGAGAGCGGCTCACAGACAAGAAAGGTGGTAGGCAACGTTCCGGCAAATTATTGGGACCGACAATGGATACACCAATAGTTGTCGCCAATATAGACGGTTTAGGTGGGAGCAATTCACCTTCAACCATAGCTGCAATGGACGATGTGTTGAGTCGGTATGTAGATACATTTCCACGCAAGCCGCTGTTTAAACCGGCTGCATCCCAATGAACAGCCCCACGCTTTTTCGGGAAAAGCTTGACGATGTATGCTGCAGGATATGATAAGGCCACCAAAATACGCTCCGGAAGAGTCAACATCCCAAGTTCATCAGGAACATCTCCGATCCAAAGATTATTAGCAAGGGAAAATAACGGAGTTTTGTGAGATTTGATGTTGTCCCAGCAATGATCGCAAAGAAAACCATATTGACAATCATCTCGAATCATGATGGCTGGATTGTATAGTAGCATGCCATTCACAAGTCGTTGCCTGTGATGCGAAGTATACGGTTCCTGTACGTCTTTGTGCTGGATCAAAGACAAGAGAAGTTCGGTTGTTTCGGATGCTAAAAACTCGCCTGAGCAGATATTTGCCGTTCTTCTTGTAGCCACATCTTTTTCAACTGCTGTTCTTCACAATCTTGTAAGTGTGCAGCTTTGGCATCTGCAGCTGACACCACTACGGATTGAAGAAGAGCAGAGTGTCGAACTGATGACAATAGACTATTTCGGTTTCGTTTCTCTGCGCGTGAAAGTTTGAATTCATGCACAGCGGAGATGATTTCATTGACGGTGAGCTGATTTAGCGCGTTTTCGAATGGCGCATGTGAAGATAAATGTGCATCGTGAGATTGCGCTGCTTTGCTGTTCGCTGCTGATATGATTGGTATATGGGTCTCCATCAAACGTTGCACAGTAGCCACTAAGTCACTGCGCTTGCGTTTTTCAACTCTTTTCAAGTTATTGTCACCTACTGCAGCTATAATCTCTTTCACTGTTAATTTATCCAGGGCAGAATTGAGCTGTTGTGACATGGTTAGAAAACTGGAAACTGGACGGGTGACATCATAACATGCAGTAACGTTCAACGTTTATTGAAGTTTATTATTGTTTATTATTGGCAGTTAGTTCGTCAGATTTTGTCAAATTACCTTGCGGAGCAAGGTCTATCACAATGGGGCGTGATATGTGGTGGCAAACAGTACAAAACAAGCATGTGATTGATGACGCATGGATACTATACAAATACAAGGTAGTAACGGACTCTTTGCATATACCATTTCCTTGACCAATGATTCCGAAATAGCCAGATTGCAAGCTGCTGATCCTGAAAGATTTCAGCAGCACGTCAATCATTCACCATCATACATACTTTTTCAGTTTTTGGAAGAAGAGGCCTTGGCATTATGATGTGTTCTCTTTACCTCCCGCTCATTGTCTTTTTCTTTAGGCCGTGGACGCTTGTAACTCGAAGTGTGATGGACAGGACCTGGACATAAAATCTCTACTTTTTCGACGTTGGCCTGAAAACTGTCGAATTGCTTAATCTTCCAATGGTGGATGTGAAACTGCACTTCCACAATCGCCCCATTAATGGCCTCGTTGGCCATGGACGGTTCCACCAAATGTCCGTCATGATAAAGAGGTAGAGGAATCACCTGATAATTATACTTGATTTCGTCGAACTCACTCGCAAATTGGTCAGGAACAGGCCAATTACGAGTTTCTTCATCCATTTGAGGAGTGTTTTCCACACTCTGTCCGTGTGGAGAATTAGGAACAGTGTCCTCCTGTTATCAAAGTAAGCAAACGTGAACTGTGTGCCAATGATCACTCACCCTCATATTGAAAATGCTCTTGACACAGCGCAACATCGTTCCCATAACATCTTCAATCAACATATTCTTGCACTCTCCAGACTTTCCGACCTGCTTCTGCCACACATCCAACACAGAGATTGAAGTCTCATAATCCATCCCAAGTTCGTGGTCAGCAGGACAGCATAGGTGAAATTGATACTTCGATTTCAGAAGGGGACTAACATCACTGTTCATGTGATTTCCAACAGGTCCACACTTGAGACGAAAAGGGGACACATGTCCCATGATGATGCCAATGAAAGGGGTTTGGTCTGTCTTTTTAGCAAGTTCAAGGCCTGTTTCAGTGTGCTGCCATGTAGTGGTATTCAAAACACCAGGAGACGCCAAATAATTCGGAAGCAACATTTTCTCTACATGATAAGCATGAGAATTGAAAGACATGGTGGTTGAGTTGGATGACGCTTGTCACACATGACGTCACTCCAAATTTTCTTTTATACTACACAGTCACTCTAAATTAATTGTTTTCTAAGTGAATTAGACTACCTTTGCACTACACAATTTCGCAAAATGAATCAATCAACTCGCACTATTGAAGAAATCATGGAGATGACTCAATACCTTACCATGAAAGATATTATCGCCGAAGGAGAGCCAAACTCATTTTCCTATTCTTCAAAAAGACGCCAGTCTGATCTTCTCAATGAAATCTGAGATTCTCTTGCCCTTCAAAATATTGTCGAATGAGCCTTTAACCAAAAGCAACATCGTCATTTAGAGGAGAGACACACACGACTTAAACGAGCTCGGTTTGAGACATTCGTAGCAGACAAAGCAGTGGAAGATAGAGATCACCTATTCCTGCAGAATGCGGAAGAAAATATTAAATGACAAGCACTTGCAAGATTCATCAATCAGACAGGAAATCACTGCACTTCTCAAGCAAGTTGCATCTCATGTGCACGAGAAGATTTCATAAATGAAATGAACCAAATTTTTCTTGACGACATTCCAAATCCACATCTACTCACTCTGACATTTCGACATCCCGCTCAAAGACTCACCTCAGGCATGCTTTTATATGAACCTGCGATCATTCTCTCCAAAGAGAAACTATCTGGTGCAATTTGCACGGTGTGTCTTGAAGATCTTTGAGTTGGTAACATGCCATCATTCTCACTCGCCAATGGTTTATGGATTGGAGAAATACCCCACCAACTTGCATTCTCAACCTCCCAGAACGCCTCTTAATCGGTCTTCACTTCCCTGCCATCTATGTCATCAAGCTTTACCCTCAACGAAAGGGTGCAAATCATTGGGATGCAGCTGCGTTAAATAGTGGTCTACGAGGGAACATGTCGACTTACCAATTGAACACCGCCGATATCGTGTCAATGATAGAAGGCAAACTATTACCTCACCATCCAGCTCTACTAGCAGCCACTATCAGAATCACCATTATTGGACCAAATAATCTGCCTGTAAAGTCACTTTGCCCGATTCTATTTGTCAATCATAATTGTGTTTGAGATGCACTATTGTTTCTCTGAAAAGAGAATCATCTCTACCACGACATTGTCATCTCTGAGACAAATTTACAACTTTTGCCTGAGGACAGCATGCCATCAGAATTGCTTACCATCATCAAGCATTCCAATGAACAGCACCTTTTAGAGCAAGAGCATGATGGTTATGTGATTGCAGACAGCGATGACAATGACAATGGTATGAGTACCTGTCGCTTCCACGATACACTACAGCTCAAATAAATGACAGATCTTGACAGCATATTTGAAATGCTGAACTACGAATCCCCTATCAATACCTTAGATATGTCAGATGATATTCCGTTGTAGGTGAGGAATGTAGAATGCTAAGAAGTGGGTAGTATGAATATACTCAGATGGTCCTCTGTGCGTGAATCTCATGTCGGCCCAAGGGGATTGCTACTGAGAAGGTTCCTCTATATATAATAGTGGAGGGAAACACTGGACTGGGCTGTCGGATAAGCCTGGTGAGGCGTGCGACGATGAGCGAAGCGTGAAGAGCGAAAGCGCTGTAAAGAGTTGATTCTATGTGGGTGCTACAAAAGTGTTACCTTAAGACTCAGAGTGCGAGTGAGATGTTCATCCCAAAGAGACTGCCTATAGAAATGCTCCTTAATATAAAGCAAGGGATATCTTGTTAAGATCGAGGATGAGAGAAAGGAATGTTACCAAGAGCATGCTCAATGTTCTGAGGATGCATCCGAAGTGGTCCGAAAGTGGTCCGAAGATGGTCCGACATCAAGAAACGAAGGTCCGAGGTCGCGAAGCGTCCGAAGAGCTTCCGATGAACAGCGAAGGTTCTGAGAGAAGTACAATGGTGTGTCAAAGTATAAGACTCGCGAAGTATAACTAAGCAAAGCCTATCAAAAGAACTTAGAGACAGCGAGATGCGAAATGGCAGTGGTCAGGCCAAACAATCATTCTGAATGAACAAAAGGTCGATTGTGCGAAGTACGACTTATCCGAAAGTGACTCTACTAACTATGACTTGTAGCAGGGAAAGTGAAGTGAAGTGCGAGTAGCTAGCGAGGCAGATTATATCCTACAGCGTGAAAGTTCGGAAACTGCGTAGGCGAAACCAGTAGCGAGATAAGACATCCGAAATGTAATAAGACTCAAGGCGAGTCGCTACAGAGATATGCATGTAATAAGACGCAAGGCGTGTATAACCAATGGGCCGACGACATATGTGCCCCTAGACATAATCAATAATAGATAACCAAGTGAAGAACGCACCAGTGAAGTCAAACGGACACGGACGGGACATGGTACGGAGGATCGGAACTGTATACAAGCCTCGGAAATGGATGGACGACCTTTGGACGACTCAGATGAATGCACGGAACTCTCGGAAGGTAAATGGAGTGTCGAGGAATGTGTATGTGGAATACCTATGAGTTTGGCAGGATACGAGCCCAACGCCGATCCAAGTGCTACAGTGCTATGAAGCGCTACTGAGCGATAAGTACAGTGAGGTGCGCTGAGTGTGAGCGAAGCGCGCGTGTGGGTGGTGGAGTGCAGCGACTCTTAAGTGAGTCGGGAGACAGGTAAGACGACATTTATATAAAGAGTATGCGAACTGGCGCTCGTGTCGGCTTTGGCGCTTAGTGTCGGTCGGCGGATTTGACGGAGATTTTAGACTTAGAGTCCAACGTTTTGTGCGGGAAGAAGAAGATCCTCATTCTACATAGAGGCAAGGTATATGTTACGCACTCAAATAGATCTGTTAGGCGGAGCCCTAAGAGGGGCGTCGTCCGCTAACGTTCGTGACGTAACCGGAAGGATCCGGTATAGCAAGTGAGACTGGCGACGACGAGTCGGCAGCGATCACAGTACGCGCGTGTCACGTGACTTGGTAGACGGATGTCTAAGAAGTCACTCAAAGTCAGGACTGTCTTGTCCGGACGATGAGGTCGATCGAGGTAGACTTAGTCGCGAAGAGCGACTAAGAAAAGATACTAGAGACTGAAGCTGAGGGGGCTTCAGAGGGAAGTATGTTCCAGGGAAGATTGAGTAGATTCAAGTTAGAGAATCTAGTACAGGGTGACCGACTACTTATACTAAGTGGAGAGGGTTAAGGGCAAGGCTACCGCACAGTAGGTAAGGGTAAAGGGGATGCGAATATGGTATAGGTGCGTTGGCAACATAGCCTGATTAGTGATGGTTGGTCGAAATGGGAATGAGACCGAGAAACGTTGGAACGGACCAACGGTAAGAATACAACGTGCGGGAATCCGCAGTCAGGGGAAACAGAAAGAGGAAAGCCACATTGGTGGCACGAGTCAGACCGAGTCAGAGGTGCGGGACCACATTGGTGGTCGAATCAAGAGAGGAACGTGCGTGCACGTGCATAGAGGCGGATGATGCGAGGGACGGGAACGGTCCCGAGGATCCGGTCAACGGAAAGTCGGTAAAGGAGGGCGAGCCGGTAGATGGTGAGGGCGAGGATGAGGGGAAAATGATAGGGGGGCCACGTGACCGATGTTACTTGTAACATTACCCCCGTTTCAAGGCTAAGCTCAACGAGCTTAATCATCCTGGTTGTCATACCAGCTAGGGTCGAAGTCGAGGTCTTCAAGCCAGGCGGTGGCCTCGAATGCGTTCTCCTCGCGTTCTTGTTCGACGCGGGCGGCTTCTTGATCATACGCTGCTTCGAGCCTGCGCATATCAGAATAGAATCTATCCGAGGAGGGTCCTCGGCGTAGGATTTTCCGTCCATCGAGTCGTGGACAGAAGGGAGTGAGGTGTTTTGGGGCAAATTGCCCACAGATGCGGCAGAAGTACTGGGCGCAGTGTTTCTGCTTATGACCGTATGTACGGCATTGGCGGCAGATCACGTTGGCACGGTAGATCTGGGTGGTCTCGGTGGCCTCGATGCGGGCGCGGTTCAGGGCGTCGCCCTGTGCGTCTTCACGGGTGTAGTGCCTCGTAAAGTTCTGGGTGCGAGGGCGGTGTGCGTGGGAGAGGGGAATTCCGAGGTTAAGCACGGATTGTGCGCGTGCGCGGCGTCCACGACGTCGTGGAGTGGGAAGGGGATTTGGGTTCTCGACTGGAGAACCAATGGTCAAGGGGGGTACGTCCCGAGTGGGCATGAAGTCACTGGGTTCGATGGTGGGGGCAGGGTGAGATTCGTCTGCCAGGGGAATGGTGAGGGGGGAGTCGTGTACCTCGAGGAAGACAATAGTGTCTGCCTCAGGGGTGGGGTTGCGTGGCGCATAGCGCTCACGTTCGTATTCCTCATAGAGGCGGTCAATTTCGGGGTTTGTCAGCTGGGTGACGTTGGGGATGGGTGTGTCTTCGGTGTCTTCGTCGATGATTTCGACGTCCGGTTGTGGGTGGAAGGGGGTTGGAGCTCTGTTACGGACAGCACGCTCGACAACAGCGACAGGATCGGGAGGGGGATTAAATGCCCGCTCCTCCTCGATGGCCAGTACAACGGACTGGAAGTTCCTAAGTTCGAGCAGGTTTAGTAATGCCTGCTTGATTTTACCCTGATTGTAGCGGGTGGAGATGGTAGAGATGGTGGTATCTCTCTGGAGGTCGATCCTGGCAATGTCGCCAGTAAGTGCATCTGCACTTCGGAAAGCGTTGACGACGTTGTAGGTAACGTCATCGTTGGTGCGCTCGAGGTAGCTGTCGAGGCGCAAGGCAAACTGGGGGTCGCAGATCACTGCTTCCCAGTAGGCACGCGTCCTGTCTTCACGGACAGAGCGTAAGGAGGGTCGTCGGTACGGGGTGAAGGCTGGCCTTTCAAGGCCAGGCGGTTGTCGGGGTGTCTGGGTCGGGCCGTATACAGATGCAGGAGAGGAAGCGGAAAGGGGAGAGGAAAGCGACGATGCTGAAGCCGACATATTTGAGGGGCTTTCCTTGGGTGTTGGCGTAGGTAAATTCTTG